TACAAAGATTAGGTTGTTTTCTTTTATTAGGTTTGAGCTGTAGAACGTTATTATTATGATGACAAACTCTTCCTCATATCATGCCATAGCTAAATGACGTCTGGATTTGTGTAAACGCAGACGACTTGTTATAACAAGTACAATAAAAGAGCTAAAGCTTTTAAACAGATCACACTAAAAGAAGCATTTATTGTAAACAGATTTTGTTTTCATGAATAAATTTTACATTCTTCAAAGAGAGAAAAAAAAGTCTAAAAAGGTTATGAACCTTGCAGCAATTATAAAAGCGCATGAAAATGGCAGCTTTAAAGTTATTATTAACATCTTTTTTTCTTAAAAGCTTCCAATATTTGCATAAACTTGTGGTACTATCAATTTCAAAGCAGTTTTCTCTAAACAATTTGTTTTAAAGGGCTAGGATTTGTGCAATTAGCTTAATATTGTTTAATTGAAATATAATAATATGTTCATTATCGTGGGGTTGCCTAGCTGACTAGATGTAAATTCAACCCCAGCTAGTAAAACAGTTTATATCTTAAGATCTTTTGAGCACGACGGGAACACTTGAATATAGACAAAACTTGCCACATATGACATATATTTTTTTTTCTTAAGAGAAAATCAGACGAATCTTCATATATAGCACGTTTTCTCTAAATGAAGTTTTTAAAATTTACGGTGGAGTCGAAAGAAAAAAAAAGTAAGTCGAATCACACATCAATTATCAGGCGTATCGCATCGTAAACTTAGGCACATAACCGTTCACAATCACTTGCGCGCAAAATCAGTCGGTGACAACAAGACGTGACAAACACAATCTCCTGAGGACAGATTACGAGAAACATCATTATAGCCGTACTCTACTCCCTCGCATACGTCAATGACTCAATGGCGTGTCATACGGAGTCAACACGTAAGACGAACTCTCCTCATGTAGCTCCCGCGGGAAACCGACAAGTGGACAGTTCCAAATCTATTTTACACTAAAAACATTGATCGATTACCCTCGGAATACAAGTATAATTCTCATTTACTCGATTAACAATAACACACCACCTAGATCTCTATCCGCATAGACACAAATTTCCACATGATTCTCGTTTCTAAAGAGAATCGCCTCAAAAGCACTTACCTACACTTAAAACCCTTAAACTTCGCATCACTCTCTTAATACTAGCACTCCGGACTAAATCTTGCTTTTTAGATAGTAAGAAAAAAAAAGCGAGAAGTACGTATGGTAGATAACATTTATGAAATCTATTCTTTTTTATCAAGCAATATATGAAATCTTGTAAATAACTTTATAATCTTTTAGGTCTCAAATAACATTAAGCTAGCTGGTTCGGTGTATCTTCAAAAAGACAAAAACTACATTATTTTTAAAAAGTATAATATACACATTTATATTTCATGATGACGCCAATATTTGAAACAGAGCACTACTGTTATATATTGTGAGTCATTGTAAATTTTTAGTAAACTATATACAGTACATATGTATCTATCCATACCCAAAACTCCGGATACTCAAATTCTCAGAACGGATCGGATCGAAGAAATATCGAACAGGATATTCCAGATAGATTATATATCAATCCCAAGTTGGCCACCTACTATTTTTTTATTCTAAAAGACTGGAAAAGAAAGAATGTGCAGAGAGCACACCGTCATTTTAATATTCCAATGTCGTCGTGATACATCCACGGTTTGTACACTTTTCACCGTACATGTCCGTGTCGTACGCTTACTTTTTCGCATTCCACATGCGAAATTAAACAAAACCCAATTAGTTAAGTAAAACAAATAAACAAACCGAAACTTTTATTTTAAAAATCCCCAAAAAATCAAAAAGCGTAAACCTTGTTGTCAATAAAATAAAAATTAAAAGCAATACCTTTCCTCTTTATGACTTTCTTTTCTCTTCTCTCTATAAAACCGTCCTTACGTTGAACCTCCACGAGTCACACATTCTTAATCTTCTACAATGGGTTTCTTGAGATCTTCCTCTTCTTCTTCTGCATTGAAATGGCTTGGCTTTGTGACCGCGGTTTGGGTCCAAGCCATCTCCGGCAACAACTACACCTTCTCAAACTACTCCGGAGCTCTTAAGTCTCTTATGAACCTCAACCAGCTCCAGCTCAACAACCTCTCCGTCGCTAAAGATGTCGGCAAAGCCTTCGGAATCCTCGCTGGCCTCGCCTCCGACCGTCTTTCCACTCCAGTCATCCTCCTTATCGGCTGCTTTGAAGGTCTTCTTGGCTATGGTGTACAATGGCTGGTCGTTAGCCGCACCATCACCCCTCTACCTTACTGGCAGGTACTAACAATAAAAAAAAATTATATCTTTCTTTTTTTGGAATTAAACGTAAAATTAATTTAAATCCGGTTATTAGTACAAACCACTAGATTACAAGTCTTCTTGATCAATAATAACAATTTTTTTTCTTGAATTGAATCTAAAAATAATATGTAGAAATCTTAGATTAACGAATTAATTATGGTAATATTTTGAGATTAGTGTGTTTTGGAATTTTTCAGATGTGTATATTCCTGTGTATGGGAGGGAACAGCACGACGTGGATGAACACGGCGGTGCTAGTGACTTGCATAAGAAATTTCCGGCGAAACCGTGGTCCCGTCTCCGGTATTTTGAAAGGATACGTGGGCCTAAGCACTGCTATTTTCACCGACGTATGCACTGCTCTGTTCTCAAACGATCCGGCGTCGTTTCTTATTTTACTCTCAGTCGTGCCATTCGCTGTCTGTCTCACGGCGGTTTTCTTCCTCCGGGAGATCCCTCCAGCTTCTTCCGCGGACGAGGAGAACGAAGAGACTCGATACTTCAACGTGTTCAACATCGTAGCCGTCGTGGTCGCCGTGTACCTTCAGTCTTACGACATCATCGGAATCAAAACCGGAGTGTTCTCAGTCGCTTTCGCTTCCATTCTTATCTTCCTCTTGGCTTCTCCGATCGCAATACCTTTCCACTCATTCATCCGGAGCTTGAACCGCGGCGAACAAGACGTGGAAGGACAGCTCCAAGAACCGTTGCTCAGATCAGAAATCACGGCGGAGAAGGAAGTCATCGCTGTAGAAGCAGCGGCAGCGGCGGCGTTGGCGGGGGAGGAAGAAGAGAATGTTGTGGCGGAGAGGAAGAGGCCGGTGTTGGGAGAAGACCACACGATTATGGAAGCGGTGTTGACCGTTGACTTTTGGGTGCTATTTGTGTCTTTCCTATGTGGTGTAGGAACTGGTTTAGCAGTGATGAACAATATGGGTCAGATCGGTCTTGCTCTTGGTTACACAGATGTCTCCATCTTCGTCTCTATGACTAGTATTTGGGGTTTCTTCGGTCGCATTCTCTCCGGTACACTCTCCGAACACTTTCTCAAGTAAGTCTCCTTCTCTTTCAACTCCCTAAGCTTAATCGTTTTTTAATCACTCACATTGTGAAAATATAATAAAATTTTGAATTGTATAGAAACTTAAAATGCATAAACCATAAATTGTTAAAACGGATCAGTCAACATTTGTTTCCTTCCCCTGTTGGTTTTGTATGGTTTTTGTCCTCAACATACAATATTCAATCTATTTGGTCTGCATGCTCTGTTTGTTTCGAAAAGAGCTATCATTCAAAACTTCAATTTTCGTGCTAACATTAACTACAAACCTGTAACGTGTCGTAGATCATTTTTCATCCACATACACACAAAACTGAATGCGTCCTGAATTTGAAAATTCTTCCATCTGCATTTGTTTTGCACTCTTAAATGATGTTTTTTTTTCACAAATAAAGAAAAGGGATCATTTAGATTTTTCTGTTTGATTCGTTTAACTAGTTTTTGTTCTTGTATATAGACATGTCAAAATCCAAAATCTTGCCTTGGCCCCTTTCGGACCACACTCTTTAACTTCTCATCACGTGAATGTCCTTGTTCGGAATCTGTAGAAACTTTAACATTTTAGATTTTTTTTTTATATGTAATTTATAATCATATCATTAAGCATGTTGCTTTAATATTTTACTAACCAAAGAAGTGGAATTTATTTCTTTTAATTCTATAGGAAATCTGGAACACCAAGACCACTATGGAACGCAGCTTCTCAAATCCTCATGGCCGTAGGATATATACTAATGGCTTTAGCCGTGCCCAATTCACTTTACATCGGTTCAATGGTGGTCGGAGTTTGTTACGGTGTTCGTCTAGCCATAACCGTGCCGACAGCATCAGAACTCTTTGGTCTTAAATACTACGGTCTCATCTACAACATTTTAGTACTTAACTTGCCACTTGGCTCGTTCCTCTTCTCTGGTCTACTCGCTGGCTTCCTCTACGACGCAGAGGCTACACCAACTCCTGGTGGAGGCAACACTTGTGTTGGAGCTCATTGTTACCGTCTCATCTTCATAGTTATGGCTTTAGCTTCTGTTTTTGGAGTTGGTTTAGATATTTGGTTGGCTTATAGGACTAAGGAGATTTACGCTAAGATTCATGCTAGCAAAAAGTCCAAAAAATCTGGTGGTAACCTTAGTTAAGAACTGTTAAGATCGATATCGTTCGTCACATTTTTTATTATTATACATGATTCAGTATCGGTTTCAAGATATTGTTGATTAAAACTGCAAGTACCAGGACTTCATTGTTGTAGAGTAAACATTTCCAAGATTTTGTGTCATAAATTTATTATATAATTTAATAAGTTTTTCTTCTAACTTGTTTTTACAAAATAAAAATAAAAAAAATGAATGGTTTATATAGGTGTCTTAAAGACGTTAGAAATGAAACAACAACAAACTCTGAAAACCTAAAAGATAATGCTTAAAAAGACAGTAACAAGATTAACAATGACAGATGCAAATTTAATTTGATATGAAGATCAATAAAAGACTTATTGATATGAAAATTGATTTAATAAATAAAACAGTAATGAAAGTGATTTGTGTGAATCCGAGAGAACTTGTTAAAACTTAAAACCATCAAGAATAGCTTTTCAACATTTCAGAATTCAAGTTCCTTGATCTCATCATTTCGCCAATGCTTCTTGTAAAAAGCAATCTTCGTGAGACCTGGTCCACATTGATCTTTGCATACCAAGCAACTGACTTTAGAACACATGATAAATGTGTCAATCTTCTGAGTGAAAGTTTTTATAAGACTGTCCTCAAGTACCCTGCCGAAGAAGATTGGATCGGTAACACTGTCTATGAAACAGCAATGTGAGAGATTAAGGATCGCTAGGTTTTGGAGGCCTGATGTGATGTGGAAGGAAATGATTTTAATATTTTCGATAGTAGAACATCGCATACTCAGCCTCTTCAGCTTAGGGAGGTAAAGCACTAGTTTCATAGCTACATGTTCGTCGACGTAACCCGAAAGTTTCAAGTTGGTGAGATTGATACAGTTTTCTCCAATTAGTTGAAACTTGATTCTCTTGTTTAAGTAAAACTCTAGAGAGATGATTAACGTGTGAAGGTTCTTCCATTGACTGAATACGAATCGATACGAATCCTCACTTAATTTTCCCCATTTTGGCAAAGCAAAGGTTTCGATATTTGGCATCCTGTGTAAAAAAAAAAAAAATCAAGAATGATGAGAAAAAAAGGCGGCTAATTCGTTTTGGTTTCTTGGGTTTCAAGGAATATATGAGATTTATTTACCTTTCAGCAGCGATGATGAGATCTTCATCTTCGACGCAAAAACAGAAGTTAAAGAACAAACTTGTCGGGACGGTACTGCTTAATTTGGTTATTTCAGTCAAAATATCCCGAGGATTGTATAATATACCTTCTATGATCTTTACATCGAGCTGAGAGTTTTTCAGTCGAGGATGGTTAAAGTCGACAAGTTGGAGATAGGCAAGGTCGATGGTTTTCCATAAAGATTTTTGGTGAGAGACAAGGAACCAAGAGATGCAGACGCGTGATGCTCCCATGGTAACATCTATTACGGTGAGCTTCTCGAAAATCTTTGCCAAAATGTCTCTATCCATATTTTCCCATCTTGGGACTTTTCTTGATCTCACGACCTTCACATTGCAGCTACAAAATAAAATAAAATAAAAAAACATTTTAGAGAGAATGTGAGATTTATAGATTCTTGAATTTATAGAACAAGATAAAGAAGAAGATAACATTGAACAAAGGAGAGATTTCATAGAGAGTCTCCATCTTTGGACTCTTCTTGCTCTATCTAATCTCTCCATCTCAATGCACATACAAGAAGAAGAAGAAAAAGTTTATTAGAGATTTCTAAGGACTAAAGGAAAGAGAAGAAAACAATATGATTTTATATGAGAAACTGCAGGGACAAAAGTTCTACACAGAACAATAAGTTGCTTTGAATATTTGGTACCTAAAGATTCCAATAAGTCGCCAAACATATCTTGTGCATGCTCATGAAACTATAATTACACACACCTAATGTTTTGTCGTCCTTTAAAAAAGTGAAACAGAGTTTGACTAAAAGAAATACAGTTTCTTCATAATGCAAGTCAACAATAAATATAAACTTGGTAAGCAATTAGGACGAAGGAGACTTACGCTAGCAAAAAGGCCAAGAAATCTGGTGGTACCCTAAGTTAAGAATTGCTAGATCTAGTTCTATTCCACTATATTTTTTTTATTATACATGATACAATATCGGTTTCTTTCAAGATATTGTTAGTACCAGGACTTCATTGTTGTAGAGTCACCGCAGATCAGTGTAAACATTTTCAAGATTTTGTTCGTAAATTTATTACATAATTCAATGAGATTTTGATATTTACCAATTCTAGTTCTTCTCTGTCTTAAAAAAAACTGAGCGGTTAATATAGTTGCGGTGAAACAACAACAAGCTCTGTAAACCGAAAGATAAGGCTTAAACAGACAGAGTAACAAGATTAACAATGACAAATACAAATATTGATATGAAAGACTTAAGTGAAGACTTATTGATATGAAATGTTGCAATGGCAGTGGGATTTATGTAATATTTTGAAATAGAATCCAAGAACTTGTTAAAACTTAAAACCATCATGAATAGCTTTTCAATGTTTCAGAATTCAAGTTCCTTAATCTCATCATTTCGCCAATGCTTCTCGTAAACATCGATCGAGGTTTTATATGGATCTTCGCATAACAAGCATCCGACTTTTGAACACATGATAAATGTGTCAATCTTCTGAGTGAAATTTTCTATAAGACTGTCCTCAAGTACAATTCCGCAGATGGGACCGGTGATTTTGTCGTTGAAAATGCAATGTGAGAGATTAAGGCTCGCTAGGTTTTGGAGGCATCTGATGATGTGGAAAGAAACTTTTTTAATATGGTAGATTTTACAACCTCGCATACTCAGCCTCTTAAGGTTAGGGAGGTAACGCACGAGTTCCACAACTAAATCTTCGTCGACGTAACCCGAAATTTTCAGGTTGGTGAGATTGATACAGTTTTCTGCAACGAGTTGAAACTTGAGGATTTTCTGGTTCACGTAAAAGGCTGGAGAGATGATCAGTGTGTGAAGGTTCTTCCACTGACTGAATACGAATCGATAGGAATCCTCACTTAAATTGCCCCATCTTGGCAAGACAAATTTTGTTATATTTGGCATCCTGTTCAAAAAAAAAAAAAAAAAAAAAAAAAAGAGAATGATGAGAGAAGCGGTAGTAAATTCGTTTTGGTTTCTTGGGTTTCAAGGAATATATGATATTTATTTACCTCTCAGCAGCGATGATGAGATCTTCATCTTCCACCCAAGAACGGAAGTTTAAGAACAAACTACTCGGGACAGTACTGCTGAATTTGGTGATTTCATTCAAAATCTTCCTAGGATGGTATATATCGTATTTCTGTGGCGGAGCTACAAACAATTTTTACCAAGCTAAGGTCGAGATATACAAATCTAATATTAAATACAATATTATATGGTACTATTACAAAAAAAATGAGAAAACAATATATGAATTAATGGAGATTATCAGTCAAAAACTGATTTGAACCAAATATTCTACTAAATTCAGTAAATTATTTACACTAAAACAATATATAATATATTACTTTTATGAAGGTCAAAGACTGAATTTAACCAAATATTATACTAAATTTAGTAAAATCGACACTTAAAATATTAAATATATTACTTTTGTAGGGGTCGCCAATCACATGACTCCCTATTTCCATCTTACCTACTGTCGACTTCGATGGTTACATCGACCAGAAAGTTTTTCAGTCGAGGATGGTTAAAGTCGTCAAGTTGGAGATAGGCAAGGTCGATGGTTTTCCATAGAGATTTTTGGTGACAGACAAGGAACCAAGAGATGCAGACGCGTGATGCTCCCATTGTAACATCTATTACGTTGAGCTTCTCGAAAATCTTTGCCAAAATATCTCTATCCATATTTTCCCATCTAGGGCTTTTTCTTGATCTCATGGCCATCACTTTGCAGCTACAAAATACAATAAAGTAAAAAAAAACATTTTAGAGAAAATGTGACATTTGTGGATTCTTGAATTTATAGAACAAGATAAACGGAAGAAGAAGAAGAAGAAAACATTGAACAAAGGAGAGATTTCATAGAGAGTCTCCATCTTTGGACTCTTCCTTTTTTTCTTCTTGCACGTTCTAATCTCTCCATCTCAATGCACCTACAAGAAGAAATAGTTTTGTTAGAGATTTCTAAGGACTAAATAAAAAAGAAGAAGAAAACAATGATTTTTATATGAGAACCTGCCTTTGCTTTGAATATGTGTACCTAAGGTTTCAACAAGTTGCCAAACATATCTTGTGCATGCTCATCAATCTATAATTACACTAACCTAATCTTTTGTCGTCCTTTAACAAAGCGAAACAGAGTTTGACTAACAAAGTTACAGTTTCTTCTTAATGCAAATCAACAATGAACAGCAACTTGGTAAGCAATTAGTCACTAATTATTTGATGTTGCCTCAATTGGTATGAATCAAGAAATTTTGATATGAATCAAGAAATGTAGGGTCTAAAACTACAAAAAAAATATTTGACCCAAAGAAAAATAAACTACAGAAAAAATCTCTTGGTTACAAAAAGTAATAAAAAAGTCAATTTCAGAAATAAATTTGACGCGTTTTTTTTGTTTAACCCCTTTAATATTGTTTTTTAAGGTCTACTTAATTACAAGACATGTGGCATGTGCGTGAATTATGTTTTGTAATTTCTAGTTTGTAAGAAAATAATTAATCCAATGACCGGTTCGAGACGATGATCCACCCGGTGACCCGACAGACTATCCGGTTCACCTTTAAAATCTTTGTTGCTCAGTGAGTCGCCGCCGTGGTCTTTGTCGAATTCGTGGTCTCTCCTCCACGCGTCGACGTCGTACCACCGTCCGGCTTCCCTTGATTTGGCTCGCCGGCATCGTCTACTTGAAACAAGGTAAGGTTTATCTTCTGTTGTTAAGCACCAGAACTAGGAAATCTAGAGCATAATCATCTAGTTTCTAGGAGAATCTAATATGCTTAGGAACAGCCTAGTTTCTTCGTATTGGTTTTCGGAATTGGAACAGAGCATTTCTATAGAATTCAGTGAAAGGATCTGATTTACAATATTCTTTGAAAAACTTGCTTAGTTGTGAGTTTGGTTTATTGAAGAAAGCTTCAAAATGCTCTTACCTTTTTATTCTTTCAAGCGTCTCTTTACCAAAGGTTTGATTTTTGGAAATGGTGTTAAGTTTCAGGCTCACTTAAAGTTGGGGATTTTCTCTTATGGTCTCAGGGTTTAGGCTATAAGGTTTCATCCAATGCAAAGCTTGTAACTTTGAGATAAAGCTTGTAACTTTGAGATATCAAAGCAGCTAATTTGCACTCAGTGTCAGTCCTGACTCCTATTCAATGGCTGCTTCTGATCAACGCCGCTCTCGCCAGCGCGACGAAGAAAGCCCTTCAAAACCAAACAAGAAGAAGAAGGCAAGCAAAAACCCTGAAGCGAATCTCCTCTTCAATCTCAACTCATGCTCAAAGTCTAAAGACCTCTCAGCTGCATTAGCCCTTTACGATGCAGCCGTCACTTCCAGCGAAGTCAGACTCAACCAGCAACACTTCCAGACACTTCTTTACCTCTGCTCTGCTTCCATTAGTGAGCCATCTCTTCAAAGCCTCGCCATTGACCGTGGCTTCCAGGTTTTCGACCGTATGGTTAGTTCCGGGATAAGCCCTAATGAGGCATCAGTCACTTCAGTTGCTCGGCTCGCTGCTGCTAAAGGCGATGGTGATTATGCTTTCAAGATTGTCAAGGACTTTGCTTCTGTTGGTGGGGTATCAGTTCCTCGTCTGAGAACCTATGCGCCGGCTTTGCTCTGTTTCTGCGAGAAGCTGGAGGCTGAGAAGGGTTATGAAGTGGAAGAGCACATGGATGCGGCAGGTATTGCATTGGAGGAGGCTGAGATCTCAGCTTTGTTGAAGGTAAGCGCCGCAACGAGCCGAGAGAAGAAGGTTTATAGATATTTACAGAAACTAAGGGAAAATGTTGGCTGCGTTTGTGAAGAGACTTCGAAAGTTGTTGAGGAATGGTTCTGTGGAGAGAAAGCTGGTGAGGTTAGTGATGATAATGGGATTGGTTCTGATGTTGAGATGCTTAGAGAAGCTGTTTTGAAGAACGGAGGTGGATGGCATGGGCATGGTTGGGTTGGGGAGGGGAAATGGGTTGTGAAGAGAGGTAATGTTAGCTCAACCGGAAAATGTTTGAGCTGCAGTGAGCAGTTGGGTTGTGTAGATGCTAATGAGGTGGAGACACAGAAGTTTGTGGATTCTTTGGTGGCTTTGGCTATGGAGAGGAAGGCAAAGATGAATTCATGTGATAAAAAGGTGGACTTCAGTGAGTTTCAGGTTAGAAAAAAAGGAACTTGATGATTCCTGGATTCTCTTAGTTTTGAATGCAAGTTTATATTTGTTGAATGTTGCATTGACAGGAGTGGCTTGAGAAACATGGAGAGTACGAAGCTATAGTAGATGGAGCAAATATTGGACTCTACCAACAAAATTTTGCAGATGGTGGTTTCAGTCTTCCACAGCTTGAAGCTGTGGTGAAGGAACTATACCATAAAAGTGGTAACAGGAAATGGCCTCTAATTCTGTTGCACAAGAAACGGGTCAGGACGCTTCTAGAAAACTCAAGCCACAGGAATCTTGTTGAGGAATGGATCAATAACGGTGTTCTGTATGCAACTCCACCAGGCTCCAATGATGATTGGTATAAACTTTTAACTTCTTTTTTACAATCTCATTTGTTCAAGAAACAAGACAGTGTTTAGTTACATTTCATCTTTTGGGGTTTTTACTTATTTCAGGTATTGGCTCTATGCTGCTGCTAAACTCAAGTGTTTGCTTGTAACAAATGATGAGATGAGAGATCACATTTTTGAACTCTTAGGGACCAGTTTTTTCCAAAAGTGGAAAGAAAGGCATCAGGTAAAGTTATAACCTTTCATAGTAAAAGTGTAATTTTGAGAAATCTACAATTAGCTTATGGTTTTATGGTGTTGTGATTTGTTGCAGGTTCGATATACTTTTACGAAAGGTAATTTGAAGCTTGAAATGCCGCCTCCATTTTCAGTTGTCATTCAGGTTCTTACCATCTTTATTTCTAATCCTCTATTCTTGATCTCTTTCCGGTTTTAAGAAACCGAGTTCTGAGTTACATTTTGACATATCAGGAATCAGAGAAAGGGTCATGGCATGTGCCGGTTTCGTGTCAAAACAGTGTGGAGTCTTCAAGAACTTGGATGTGTATTAGCAGAAAAAGCGTTTTAGACTCACATAAGGTAAACGGAAAGCTTGGAACTTCTGGAAATGAGAAGAAGATCCTTAGTAGCTGCAACAAGAGTTTATTGAGTTCATGTGATGCAGGTAATGATGAGAGTTGAGATTTTGGAAATCTGAGAATGAAGAGCCATTACTTTTAGTAATCTTCTTTGTTGTGACTTTTATTATTATAAATTTTTTTCCGGGAAGAATATGAACACAAACAATCATTATTTCTATGAGAGAGGACTGAATTTTTGCTCATCAGAAAGAAAAATAAACACAATTTTTTGTTTTTGTTGAACAAACCAACAAACATTGTGATTTGTAAATGTGAATGAAACTCGTACCGGACCGGACCGGACCAATTTACACACGAGGGTTTTCTGTTGCCTTTCACGGCTGGCTTCACTCTACTTTATATTTGTACCACGTCAGCATCATTTCACGATTACATCAACGAGCTATTCTCAACCGTCCGATGCTTAAACCCAAAACGATCTCCACCGTTGATCATCGTCTCTTATCTCCTTACCGTCGTAGTCGTAGGCTTTCGCAGCCGGTAAAGCGCATGAAGGGATCTTCAGACTTTTACTTTCTCTCTAAATTTTTCTCACTTTCTCCTCTCTCTCTCTAATCTGGTAAGCTTTTCACCATTGCTGTTCGTCTTCTTCCTTCTTCTCCTCTTTTTGCTTAGTTTTAGAGCTGGTAAATACAACAACTTCTTATTTCGATGTATGTTTATGGAGCCTATCACCAAATTCGCCTGTTTTTTTATCGATTTGTTTTTCATTTCCATTGAATTTTAGTTTCTGGGATTGAAAAGTGAAGATGACTATAGGATTCGTGGTGATAACTTTGATCTAGGGTTTTTTTTTTAGGCTGCTCGACTTTGTTGTTCTGTATTGGTTATTGGATTGTATATTGAAAGTGAAAAGTATATTTTTCTGGTGAATTGCAGTGGTTCGTGATTTCCGATTTAGTGTTGTTTATGATTTTGGGGGTTTTGTTGTAGCTGCGGTGATCTAGAAAATGGGAGATGGAACTGAGGTTGTGGTTAGGCCACATGTGGAAGAAAAGAAGAAGCTTGCAGATGATAGAATTAGCGATGAGAAAGCAGAGAAGATTGAGTTTTTGGGATCTGATGAAGCGAGGGAAAACGAAGATGAGGTCTTTGAGGAAGCAACTGGTTCACAGAATGATGAGCAAGAGGATTCACATGTAGAGGAAGCTCTTGAGAGTTCGAAAGATGAGCAAGATGAAGTTGAGGATTTCGAAGAGGCTGTTGGTGATTTGGATGAAACAAGTAGTAACGAAGGAGGAGTAAAAGAAGATTCGAAGGTTGATTATCCGGTGAACGGGAGAGAGACTGAACCTGATGTTTCGATTCCCAAAATGAATGGTGATAAGGGGGAAGTGGTTGCAGAAAGTTCTTATGGTCAAACTGAATCAAGCTTGGATGAGGATGAGGACACTGGCAAGGCTAAGTCTAATGGTTCCGTTTTAGCAGCTGAAGATGTGAATATGGAAAATGGAAATGGTCATTCTCTTTCCGAGAATGGAATTGTCTCTCCGGAGAATGAAGAACAGGTGGCTGATGCTATCTCAAAAACTGTTGAGCCTGAGGAATTTTGGAATGATGGCATTGAAGTTGAGAATTGGGAGGAAAGAGTTGATGGGTCATCTGGCATACAAACAGAACAGGAGGTGGAAGAAGGTGAAGAAACAACTAAGAATCTCTCCGAGAAGGGTTTGGAAAGTATTGACAATGAGTCTGAAACGAAAACTAATGGTGAGACTGGTGCGGACTACAGAAGTAATATTGTTGATGCTTCAGGTGAAAGTTCCTTGGATGATAGTATTGAGGAAGCTAGTGTTGGGACCTCATCATCTCCATTGGAGAAATCTAATTCCGATGAAAAGGGAGAGACTGAAGGTTACTTGGCTTCTTCCCTGAACTCAGATCTGGAGTCCACTGAAGTTCGAAGCAATAGTGGATTCCCTGAAGTAGCTAGTAGAGAGCCCGAGATAGTTCAAATTGCTAATGGAGGACATGATGTTCAACAGAGTAGTCAACCTAACAAGGAACCTGAAGAGCAGCAAAGTAGCAGAGTAAAAATAGATCCAGAGGTTAAGGAAAGATCACATGTGGAAAGAGAATCTGAGGTAGTAAGTTCTGCTTCACCAACCGAGTCTAATAGTAGTCCTGCAGCATTACCACCTGTTCGTCCAGCAGGTCTTGGTCGTGCTGCTCCTCTTTTGCAACCTGCACCTCGTGCTCCTCAACAGTCTCGTGTCAATGGGAATTTGTCTCACAATCAGCCTCAGCAAGCTGAGGACTCTACGACTGCAGAGACCGATGAGCATGATGAGACCCGTGAGCAGCTCCAGTTGATCAGGGTAAAATTTTTGAGGCTTGCACATAGACTGGGGCAGACTCCGCATAACGTTGTAGTTGCTCAGGTTTTATATAGGCTTGGATTAGCTGAACAGTTGAGAGGCAGAAACGGAAGCCGTGTTGGTGCCTTTAGTTTTGATCGTGCTAGTGCCATGGCAGAACAGCTTGAGGCATCTGGACAGGATCCACTTGATTTTTCGTGTACGATTATGGTGCTTGGTAAAAGTGGGGTTGGTAAAAGTGCAACGATCAATTCCATATTTGATGAAGTGAAATTTTGTACTGATGCATTCCAGATGGGGACAAAGAGGGTTCAAGATGTTGAGGGTTTTGTTCAGGGAATTAAGGTACGGGTGATTGACACTCCCGGTCTCTTACCGTCCTGGTCTGATCAAGCCAAGAATGAGAAGATCCTGAATTCTGTTAAGGCCTTCATCAAGAAAAGTCCACCTGACATTGTGCTATATCTTGATAGGTTGGATATGCAAAGTAGAGATTCTGGTGACATGCCTCTATTGCGCACCATCAGTGATGTTTTTGGACCATCAATATGGTTTAATGCTATTGTGGGATTGACTCATGCTGCTTCCGTTCCACCAGATGGTCCTAATGGCACTGCTTCTAGCTATGACATGTTTGTAACACAGCGTTCCCATGTCATCCAACAGGCCATTCGCCAAGCAGCTGGAGATATGAGGCTCATGAACCCTATTTCTTTAGTTGAGAATCACTCTGCGTGCAGGACTAATCGGGCAGGCCAGAGAGTATTACCGAATGGCCAAGTGTGGAAGCCTCATTTGCTGTTACTCTCATTTGCATCTAAGATCCTGGCAGAGGCAAATGCTCTTCTGAAATTACAAGATAATATTCCAGGGAGACCATTTGTTGCTCGGTCCAAGGCTCCTCCATTACCATTTCTCCTTTCGACGCTTCTGCAATCAAGACCACAGCCAAAGCTTCCTGACCAGCAGTATGGTGATGAAGAAGATGAAGATGATTTGGACGAATCATCAGATTCTGACGAAGAATCAGAGCATGACCAGCTTCCTCCGTTTAAGCGGTTGACTAAAGATCAAATGGCTAAGCTCAGTAAATCTCAGAAGAAGCAATACCTGGATGAGATGGAGTACCGGGAGAAACTGTTTATGAAGAAGCAGATGAAAGAGGAAAGAAAGAGACGTAAGATGTTTAAGAAGTTTGCTGCTGAGATCAAAGATTTGCCGAACGAGCCTAGTGAGAATGTGGAAGAGGAGAGTGGAGGACCTGCATCAGTTCCAGTTCCCATGCCAGACTTATCTCTACCTGCGTCTTTCGACTCTGACAACCCTACTCACCGCTACCGCTACCTTGATTCCTCCAATCTGTGGCTTGTTAGGCCGGTCCTGGAGACTCATGGGTGGGATCATGATATTGGTTACGAAGGTGTGAATGCGGAACGTCTCTTTGTTGTTAAAGAGAAGATACCAGTGTCTTTCTCAGGCCAAGTGACAAAGGACAAGAAAGACGCAAGCGTGCAGCTGGAAGTGGCCAGCTCGGTTAAACACGGAGAGGGTAAATCAACTTCCCTTGGGTTTGACATGCAAACTGTCGGAAAGGAATTGGCTTACACTCTTCGAAGCGAAACGAGATTCAACAATTTCAGGAGAAACAAAGCTGCAGCTGGTCTCTCTCTAACGCTCTTAGGTGATTCCGTCTCTGCGGGGCTTAAAGTCGAAGATAAGTTGATTGCTAACAAATGGTTCAGAATGGTTATGTCTGGTGGAGCAATGACCTCTCGTGGAGATGTTGCTTTTGGTGGTAGTTTAGAAGCTCAGCTGAGAGATAAAGATTACCCGCTTGGTCGGTTTTTGACTACTCTTGGACTCTCCGTGATGGATTGGCACGGTGATCTTGCTATTGGAGGGAATATACAGTCTCAGATTCCTGTTGGTCGTTCCTCGAATTTGATCGCTCGTGCTAATCTGAACAATAGAGGCGCAGGGCAAGTGAGTCTCCGTGTAAACAGCTCCGAGCAGCTCCAACTTGCTATGGTTGCGATTGTTCCTCTCTTCAAGAAGCTACTTAGTTATTATTCTCAGCAGACGCAATATGGACAATGATGAAGAGACATTTAGGCTGATTTTCACTTCCATACCCCTTTGCAATGGAATTATTAGGATATGATGATAGTCACAACACAAGAGCATCCTAGAATGAGTTAAAAAAGGTACAAAACCAGACACTTTGTTCAATATTTTCATTTGCTGCTCTTAATGGGATTGATTGCTGATGGTGATGTTGGTTTTGGTTGAGCAGGAGCTATGTCTGCTCTATGGTTGAAACGCAAAAAGACCAATTTGTTGGAGGAAAAGACTGTGTCTTGAAATAGCCAGAACATAACACGTTCCTTGTCTGATACATATTTTCAGTAGCTGTTTTCTTCTATTTTCTAAAACCTTGTGATCTCTGTTATGAATAATAAAAGCATATCTATTTCTCTTCTCTGTTAGTGTTTTATACTAGTATCGTGTCACTGTATCACTACATGAGGCTTTGCATCGTAAATGCAAGAATTGATTGTGTTTGGATGTAAAGTACATATAGATAAAAAACCATAAACCAGGAGGGAATATAATAGTAGTCTATAAATTCTCCAATGAATCCAAATATAGGCTTTTTTCAAAGTAGGTGTTACAGAAGGACCAATGAACAAAAAAGAAGTGTAGAGAGAGTAGAGTATATATAAATAAGAAAGAAGAACACACCAAATCATTTGCAAACTGTGAATCGGCAGGTCCCAGAATTAGCCTTGATGAAACGGATAGCGGTCATGAGAACATCGTGCTGCGAACCTCCGAGGAGAGCCAAATTGGTATGTGTGATCACTTCGATGGAGTTATAAGTAAAGCCAAGAGAGTTGTATGAATTGAGTAATGCAGTTGTTGCCTCTCTTAAGAGAGTCTTGTAGGCTTCTCCTCGTCCGTCAAGTGCTTCCCTTACCGTCATATCGGTCCCGTATCTCCTCCCGGCTACTAGCCCGAACGCAACCGCGACCTTTGTGTCAGGGCCTATGGCTCTCCAGTAGCATCTGTACTCAGGTCTCATCCACAACCTATATAAGTCACAAGGCCAACAATGTTGTCAAATTATTTGAAAGCTTACATTTCTTTAAACCGAAACTCGAAAACACCGAACCAAAAAACCCAAATTGAACCAAAAGAAGTTCAACCTGATTTTCGTAACCGAAAACATCGATCTTAAAAAAAACAAATGTAGAGTAAGAGACCTGATTTGAAATGCACTAAAAATGAATTAGAGAGCTCAAAGGTGAAAACCGGAAAGAAAAAAAAACAGAACCAAACCGAACCAAAAACCGAATGTGGCCAAATGAATGACTCAAAGAGAAAGCTCACTGGTGAGAACAAGCTGATGGCTCTAGAAATGGCATTGGAGGCAAATATGGAAGCTTAAACTGAGGAGGCGATGTAGCTGGAGGAGGACTCATCTCCGGGTCTTGCGGAGGAGGCACGACCGGGACCTGTGGAGGAGGCATGACCGGGAACTGAGGGATTGGAGGCAATGGTGGAAGCTTAAAATGAGGAGGCGGTGTGGCTTGAGGAGGAGGCATAACCGGAACCTGAGGTGGAGGCATGACCGGGACCTGAGGAGGAGGCTTGACCGGAACTTGAGGAGGAGGCATGACCGGGACCTGAGGAGGAGGCATGACCGGAGCTGGTGGTGGTTTAGGACAAGAAGACATGGGCTGATCAGGCTGAGCAAGAAGCGCATCCGTAGCGAACGTTTCAATCCCAAAAAAACTAAATATTAGTTTAAGTCTCTGGGGAGGACCTGAAGCAATGCTGCAACTACTACTTGAGCCTTGTTGCTGACCTCCATTGTCAGAAACTTGAGCGTAACAGTTGCTCAGATCCGGTGTACCATCAAATCTCATCACATACCCTCCAAGCCAATTAGTAGTCTCTTCTCTTGACATGTAAACCTGTCCATTTCCATCAGCACATGTCACACTAACCTTGATTCCTGCAAGAAACCAAAAAACATATGTTAAAGAACAAGCATATATACAGAAGAAAACAAAATGTAAGAATGTTATTGATATTAATTACCCGAGACAGGAAAATCGAACAAAGATCTCTCTCCATCCTTGCATTGGTCACAAAACACCGTGCCAGTGACCGTGGCGTATCCGGTAACTCCATTTACGGCTAAGCAAAGAACAAGAAAAGAGACAAAGAGGAGATTATGATTTGGATCCATTGCTTTCTCAGAGCTATTTAGCAATAAAGAACAAGAAGAGAACTATGAGTAGTTATGATAGTCTTAAAAGCAAGAAGGTAAAAAAAAAAGCTTAAATAAAAAGAAAATCATCACTTCCTTTCCAACCTTCAACTGCTAAAATATTAATTGAGGTTGTTGACAACGACAATAAAAAGAAAATAGCATTAGTTTATGGTCTGAACATGATAGCATCCGTACGAGTCAAGAAAGAAGTTAATGTTCTTGCCTCCAAAATAATGAATTCTTAATTATCTCTCTAACCTTTTGTGCTGAGCAATAAATATTGTCTTCTTTAAATTTAAAAAATTGGGTTTTGGGTTATAGTTATTGGTTCTGAAGGTAATGGTTCTACTTCTATGCAATCAATACTTTGGAGACTTTGTATGATTATAGTTGTGTCAAGCTGTAACTAATGTGAACACAGTTCCACACACAACACGTGAAGTGTGAAACAAAAAGGAAGAAGAAAATTTTACACGACGACGTGTGCAGTTCCAATTATACCCGCACGCATTTTGAAAATTTTAACCATCTATTTTTATCGAACCAATGTTCTTGGAGTTTCATGGAGATCTTTGGCTATTTTCTTGATTTAAGAAACGAGTTCTTGCGGTGTAGGAAAGTCATGCAATTTGTATTAATCAAGATTCAAAAGATGTTTCTTTTGTTTATCTATTTCACGTTAATGCTTCTTCCATGGCGGAAAAATAAGAATTTAGACCAATATTGGTGTCATTAGTTAACTAGGTCGAGGAAATACAAATATACAACACTAATCTATGGATCAAATCTGCAACATCTCACGAATTTGTGTTAAAATGAAGTGTTGATTGTTGAATATTGTACAAATGGGCTATCATTACGGAAAATGTTCACAATAAAATGTTATTGGGCCTAAAGAATGTAGTAATGGGCCGGAATTACATTGGTTTCAGATTCAACATATGAGCTCTAGATTCACCTTCTTCCTCGTGTGCAAAACACGACCACAGAGAAAAAGACAAAAACTAGCAAAGAAAAATATCAATACACTTTTCGCTTTCATTGGCTCTATTGACATCTACGTGCCCGACCAATCACATCCAATTTTCAGAAAAAAAAATCTTATGTTATACTGAAGTTGTCACACTCATATACGGTGGTACTTTGCCATATCCAAGTATACACTGTTCTTCAAGCTTTGACTAATCTTGAACATGTTAAGACGTTTGATAGTGATGCTTAAACAGTTCGATTGTAGGCAATTAACACTCAAGGTTAAACGATTATTATCATTATTATTCAATGGTAGCCAAATCTAAACTCAAACGGAATCATCCATCACAAACGATCCCAAAAAGCAGAAACAAAAGATCCAAACGAAAACCAGCAGAAATTCGAAAAAAAAAAACAACACAAAGCTACCATTGATTCCAATCCATCTCTTCCTCTCACTCACGGATCTAAAGCTGACCACAATCAGCGATCACAACAGGCTTGGAGGTCCTTCCAGAGTCAGATCCAACCTTCTCAATGTTCCTAACCACATCCATTCCTTCAACGACTTGCCCAAACACAACGTGCTTGCCATCGAGCCACGCGGTCTTCTCGGTACAGATGAAGAACTGAGATCCGTTCGTGTTCGCGCCGGCGTTCGCCATGGAGAGAATACCCGGACCGGTGTGCTTCCTGGTGAAGTTCTCGTCCTTGAACTTCTTCCCGTAGATCGACTCTCCTCCGGTTCCGTTCCCGGCGGTGAAATCTCCTCCCTGGCACATGAATTTCGGGATCACACGGTGGAAGGCTGATCCCTTGTAGTGGAGCGGCTTTCCGGAGCTCTTTCCGACTCCCTTCTCGCCGGTGCAGAGGGCGCGGAAATTCTCCGCCGTCTCTGGGGTGGTGTCGGCGTAAAGCTCCATCACGATCCTTCCGGCTGGTGCGCCGCCGACGGTCATATCGAAGAAAACTTTGGGGTTCGACATTTTTTTTGGTTTCGGAGATTTGGATCGGAGATTAGGGTTTTGGTGCGATTTAGGTTACAGAGAGGTGAATTGATATAGAGGAGAGGAGCTAGTTTTAAGCTATGAATATTGAAAAGGAAAGATGTTGGTGACCGTCGATTTGTACACGTGGGAGGATCGTGTTGCGTTTGATTTAACTGTGGTTAGGTTGAATCTGACCATGGTTAAAAGTAGCGTGGATTCGAGGCAGAGAATATTGTTTTCCTTTTTTTTTACTGGATAGAGAGGCATGATTCGTGGAATATGACTGACTGTAAATGACGTCGTTTTATTGACTGAAGTAAGGCCCAGGAAACTATTGGGCTGACTATTGGAGTTTTATGCCCAATTATTTGGAAGGTGTTATTGTGCCTTGCTCTCTCTATTACCATAGAAACCATGCATGTTAATTTGACTATGACATAGACATCTTTTTTGATTACGTAATTGGAGGTCAAGTGATGAGATCTTTTTTGATTTATCACCATAGAAACCATATTTTTGTAGTTACTTTGTTTTAAAGTTACATAAATGGAGGTGAAGTGATGAGATATCTTTTTTTTCTGTTGATTTCATTTTCACCTATCATTTGACTGTTGAAGTGATGAAGCCATATTTTTGTATAGAAAAAAAGTGTTAAATGTTCAAACATAATATTATAAGAAATTTATTATTGTTATTATCATCTAAAAGTTTCTTTTACATGTAGGAAAAGGGAAGAGTTCATGATGACAAATTTTGAAACTATTTTTATCCTCTAATTTCTTCCACATTTCCAGTCTTCATCCTGCATTTATCATCATAGAAATCATGTCAGTTTCACTATAACATAGTCATACACAAAAGTACATGTATGCACAATGAGAGAGAGTAAGAGAGAGAGTAAGAGAGAGAAAGGTTTACTGTGATTGTGAGGTTGAGCGAAAGGTACTTGTAGATGGACGATGCTCACAAGCGGCCACGCACTTTTTGAAGCAATCTGAAGTGAACTCCGGATCGTGGCAGATCATTTCACATTGAAATATACATACATGACTAGCTGATTCTCCTCCAATGGCAGCCATCACCACCAAAATGACCATCATCATCACAACACTCAATTTCTTCTCCATTTATCTTGTTGGTTTGCAAATGTATATGCGTGTTTGTATATTTGATAGAAGCTCTCTCTCTCTTTATATAAAGATGAAATGACCAACTCTTTGTCTTGTTTATGTTAAATTTATGAAGCAATAAATTAATGAAATTGACTTTGATTACCACCGTAAAATATACTAATGGAAGGAGAATCAGAATTATAGAAGAATATTCTCACTAGTTTCTTTTATAAGGAGAAAATAGGTCAAATTAACCATAAAAACAATTCAATGACTATATTACATGGTCAATGGTCATGATCCTACTCCTACATATAATGTATCTAATTAACAGATCACTGAACTGATAGAAGGTTGAGAATTTCTTGTAAAATATAAAAAAATTAATTTACATGTACACAAAGGCAAATTACTCTTTATATTTTGGAAGAGGGTTCGGATAGGCCAGTGTAAAGCATTTAAGTAAGAAAGCAAGTGTAACAAATAAAATATATCGCTAATCTAATGATTTTTTTTAGTTTCCTTTTTAATGTTCATGGAGTTTGGAACTTTATATTCCCAACCAGAAAAAAAAACGAAATAATCAATTGAAACAACAGAAAACTACGCTGACAATATAACAAAGAGAATAAAATGGTTTTCTTGTAACATCTACAACAGAACAAAATAAAATAAAAAAGCATTAAAGATTCTGTGAAGTTATACGTTACACTATCTTGTCAAGTTTATTACACGTTACACAATCTCTCTACCAGCTCGCTCCATCTGTAACGTTAGTATCGCTAACAATTCCTCGAACATTGCAAATGAGAAGCATCTTTAGTTGCGGTTACAACTTCAAATTTTGGTCCTCTTTTTGTTTTATGCGCGAGGCAAATGACACAGTTACGCGTAACATTCATGCACCTTGGTCATATGCCTCGGACCATTTTGGATATAGATGATACGACAAATAATAACCGAAATTAAAATGCGACTCCATCCTTGAACAACTTGTAAAAAAAATGTTTTTGTATGCTTATCTCATAGATGATGTGGTGCCAACAAGATCAAAAGCACCCACCTGTACAAGGAAATGCTCTCGGATAAATTTTCTATCTTTTGTCTATTCCCACTAATTATGGTGTTTGTTTCATTTTCAGTACCATGCCCAAATTAATTTAGATATAGTTTTGCATATATGAAAAATAGATGACTATTCTAGTCTCATGGCAGTGTGAATCCTTCTAGTAATCAAAACTGATAGGCATAAGATCTGAAACTCCGCAAGTACAACCAATATTTTGAATTTTCTTGATGAACATTGAAATCAACTTTTTTAGGATGCATTAATGGTCCATTCTTGTGTTAAGTGCTCAGTACTCACTGATATCGTTGCGATGAAGAAAAAAAAAATAACAATTACAAGATTTAATGAGACCATTTTTTCCGAGCAATTGTCAAAATAATCGCCTTGCGCTCTACCAACTGAGCTAGACGGGCTTGTTTATACCATAAAGTTTTCTACTGATTAATCGCATTAGTTATCTTTGTTTTTGTGTCATTAACCAAAGCTCAAGGAAAGTATTCTGAGTCAACATAACTAAAAGAAATTGTTTTCTTGGAACATCTACTACATAAGAAAAAAAAACAGAAGCAAACATTCAAGATTATGTGAAGTTACAAGTTACAAAACCACTCTACCAACTATCTCCATCTGTAACGTAAGTAGTATCGTTCGTGTGTGTTTTTGCTTTTACAAGTCCTCAAGTCATGAGATCAGCTCTAACCTACTTCTTCTTCTTTGACTTGCTTGAAGACTGAGTATACGCAGTACCCTGTAAACCAAGAGCAGTACACATCAAATTCCAAAACACTCAACAATGCAAAAAAAAAAAAAAAAAATCCTGGTAGAGAAGTTATTAGATCTTACCTCAAGCCATTCATCAAGCGAAGCATCTTTGGTTGCAGTTCCAACTTCAACTTTTTTTGGTGCTCTTTTTGTTTTCTGCACAAGCAAAATAACACAGTTAGGCTTATCTTTCACATTAACCATCTCCAAAGTTAGTAACACAAGTTTTGGGATCGTTTAGCCTAAAGAGGAAGTGACACAAGATCAGTAAGATAGCGAAAATGGGATGTATAAGGCTGAGATTTCAAGTACCTTGGTCATATGCTTCAAAGCATTTTGGATATAGATTGTAAGAGCAATGATACTCGAAATCAAAAGGCCGATTAGGAAGACTGACTCCATCCTGAAGAGAGGACCGTCTTCAACAACTTCGATGGTTCCATTGTAGAAAGTGTTTTGGTATTGCTTACCATCTATCTCATAGATGATGGTGCCAACAAGATCAAACGCACCCGCCTGCACAAGAAAATGAATTTAAGCTCGGATACGACTCGTGACTAAGAAGAACTATATGATTAAGAAACATACCTGGAGGAACTTGCTGACAGCAAAAATATATGGGAAGGTAGCTTGAGCAGAAGTTGGCACAGATGCGTTGCTGAAGCTCTACACATTAGAAGATAAGACAATTTCAGGAAAGTCATTCAAGAAATGGAACAAAGCTACTGCTGCCTAGAGAGACGATCAAAGAAAGTAGCTAGCTCAAAAACATAGATGAGTAAAGAGTAAAGGCCAAATTCGAAAGACTTTCTTGGTTTCTGAAAACTTTGATACACCAAAGCGTGTAAACATGAGATGAGACCAAATAGGTAACAAAAAGAGCCTAACAAAGACTGATTTGGAAAGAAACGAATCAACACATCAGTACACTTGACACATGCAACAATGAATGTGAGTACCAGAGAGGTGAGATTCTGAACAAGAGGCTTCTGATCGAAAGGAAGATGTAAACCGGCTTTAACCGCAACGATATCGACATTGGATTGACCTATTGATTCATATGATCCAATCCAAAAAAAGTTGGTAAATTTTAGCTAAAATTTCAAAGTAATCGTTTTGATATGGGATTTCATTTTCATTACCATCGTTTTTCATTCCAACGAGCAGCTCAGTATCAATTCCAGCTTTTATTACTGCAGAAACAAGACGAAGTCAGGAATCAAGAACCCTAATTTTAGAAATTAAGAAACAGAGAACAATGAAGAAAGAAAAAATCAGTACTTTTTGCGCTGTTTTTGGGGAAAACGCAAAGGGTTTCGATTCCAGGAGCTGAGTTAAGTTCTAAACCAAAGACTTCATCTGCATCACTCTCTTCTTCGCTAACATCGGAAACTTCAAACCCGGAATCTTCCGAATCCGATTGGGACAGAGCAGCTAGAGCAAACACAAACCCAACCATATCAATCAGCAACAACACTGTATAGCTTCGAATGCAATCAATAAATTTCATTCGAGCTGGAAAAACAATCAACGAATGTTAACAGCATCGGCAACAAGAAACAGAGTTTGAGTCAGAAGTAATCAGTAGAACCTTGGAGGAAAGGTGAAGCAAGGAGAAGGAAAGTGAGGAAGAGAAGCCTAATACTCATCGTCATGATGGATTTTGAGATAGTTGCGATCGTCTAGCTCTCAAGTAAAAGTCGAAAATGTGTTTTGGTCTTTGATGTTTCTTTTTGTGCTTTCTTCACATGCGCTTGACGAAGACGACGACTATGTTTAGAGATCGGACTCCTAAACGACGGCGTTTCTTGACAATTTTAAAATATGTTTTACAATATAAAGTTTATATCACCGATTCAGAAGAAGGAAAATGCACACTTTTCATTACAACGAGTCGTTGGTTTTGTTTTGTATATCAATAAACAATATGTTGTTGCGATACCTTGTTGAAATGATGCTTATCTAAAGATCTTTGATCACCCATTTTTCACATGAATATTAGAAATTTATTATTATTATTTTATAATTATTCATATTACTTTAGAGTTTCTTTTTCATGTAGAAATAACAGAAAATAAGCATATTCATCATGACATTATAAAACTATCTTTATGCTCTCCTTTCTTCCAGCCTTCTAGTCTCCATCCTGCATTATTTATCACCATATGAATCATGTCAATTTCACTATGATATACACATACACACAAGTACATTTATGCATATATATATATACATAGAGAGAGAGAGATATTTACTGCGACGGAGAGATATTTGCAGGTGGATGACTCTCGCAATCGGCCTTACACTTTTTGAAGCATTCTGATGTGAACATCAGATCGTGACACAACATTACACATTGAAATGTACATATGTGACTTGATTCTCCGCGAGGAGCAGCCATCACCACCAAGACGAAAATCATCATCACAACACTCAATTTCTTCTCCATTTCTCTTCTTGATTTGAAAAGAAAAATATATATATTTGTATATTCAATAGAAGCTATCTCTCTCTTTATATATAGAGATGAAATGACAAACGCTTTGTTTTGTTTTTGTTAAATTTTATGTAGCTACTATGAGCTATATATATGTGAAGCCAATAATATGTGAAACGTTGAAAATTGACTTTAATACTATAAAAGATGCAAAATGAAGTAATCTAAATTATAAAAAGAATATTCTGAGTATTTTCTTTCTAAGGAAAAATTAAGTCAAAACAACCATTAAATCAAATCAATGACCAGATTATTGCATGGTCATGGTCTTACAAATAATTTACCATATTATGGTTAACTCATATAACTAAATAGCATATTCTTTGCTAAGAAAATAGCATATTCTTGTATATGCTTTTTACATTGGATGAAGGCAAAAAACTCAAGAAGACAAAAGGTGTTTTGGTTTTCATGCATCTTCATAATCACAACATGGTGTAGAGATGCTTAAACACAATATCTTTATTTGCTAATAAAAAAAAAACACAGTATCTTTATTTTCTTACATGAATAGAAAACAAAAAAAAAAAGAGAAGAACAACGATGGAACCGAGATGATGAAGAGGAGTGATGAGATTCAGATGTGGAGATCATCACCAGAGGAACATATACGCAGAGCCTTTGTGTAATAAGTGAGTGCCCAAAGAGAGAAAGTGTTCCTATAGGTTGGATAATTCAACAACATATTCATCTTAAACACTCCCATTGTTTCCTCTTGCGGGAAATCTCCGTTATCCAACTGTGAATTGATCAACACTTTTGCTGCGCGATGAACCGGACCCGAGTCTCTCTCCATCTGACCACTCATAACTAGAGCCATCAACGTTTGTCCCGTATTCACCACATTGCTCCTGTGTCCTTGCAAAGGAATATATTTCTTCTTGGGACAAGAAAGATAACTCTCTCCCCAACCGCCTTCAACGTTTTGAGTCTCGAGAAGGAACTGGACCGCTCCACGGATGGCCTTACAGTTATCATAAGTCTTGCCTGCAGCCATTAGACCTCGGACAGCAAAGAAGGTTCCGTAGATGAAGCAGACAGCCCAGTTTCCGTACCATGAACCGTCTGGCAGTTGCAAATGCTCAATGTATTTCACTCCCTTCGCTATAAACCTTTCGACCTCTTCAGTTCTGTGCTCAGGAAACTGTTTCAGGAACCGAGCCAACGCTACAATCGCTGACCCCGTGCATTCTAGATACTCATGCTCGACGATTGTGTCTTCAAGAAACTCTACCGGACTAAGCCACTGCAGTTAAATTTTGAGGAATCAATTTCATATTATATCCAAACTAGCGGTATCCATTTTTGTTGCTGATAAAAAAACATGAATTTTTTAGAATTTTCAAACGTATTAAGAAGACAAATTAAAAGTTGATATGTCATCTTTTTGTAACTAACAAATTTATATCTTTAACCAATAATAATTCAATATTTTCAATTATTTTTCTTGAGTTTACATTTCATCATTATTAACTAATAAAAAATGCATTGGAAACAGAAAACATTCATCTTTTTGAAATAATATTTTTCTCCAAAAAGAAAATCATCTTTTAAAGAAACAAATGGAGTAATAAGTAGATCATTATGTGGTAAACTTTTAAAATGGGTAATTGTAATTTTAGTGAACTTTTTTATGGAAAACCTTTCTCCAAAAAAAGACCAATAATGTCGACAAAAAAAAAGACCAATAATATGTTTTTTCTCAAAAATTAGCAAAAAAAAAAATGTTAACATACCTCTAACCATTTTTTTCCGCGCGCCTTCCCCCATATAGCTATACCTCCACTATCGCTCTATTATTAAGACAATCATAAGTTACTAACTCTGTTTCACATGCTAGACTGTGGAGTTTTATATTCGATTAATTGTAATAATTAATCACCTGCAAATGAAGAAGCATGTTTACGGCATCATAAAGCCTTTCCACATCCATTTTTTCACCAATGAACTCAGAAGGCATGCCCTCAAAAATCAGACAGCACTGGCCATAGACGTGCTTTGTAAGTATCAAGCTAGACAACTTTTTTTTTTGTTACTTATGAGGAAGAATTCAAAGAGAGAAAAACGCAAACCTCTAAGCTCTCAGCAATACAATCAGAAACAGGCCATCCTTGATCTTTGTCTGAGAAACTCCAACCTCCTTTTGATATGTCTCGGAACATTTTGACATAGTCACCAGGAGGATTCTCTGTAAGCTGAGATTTCCTCAAGAAAGAGTATCCTTTTATGAGCGTTGATCTTATCTCATCGTCAGCATCAGCGGCTAAGTGCATGACTTGTAGCAAAAAGGCTGTATCCCATACTTGGCTACCAAAGCTCTGCATGCACATCAATGATATTATTATATGAAATTGCAAACGCACAAACATTAATACTAATAAATAACTGATTAGGACATGAACAAGATTTGGGGTTTAGAAAGATCAAACCTGAATTTTCAGACCGTCTTCCGCAATCCATATAAAACCAGGGACTCGAGCAAGATGTTTTTTAAAATAATCACTCTCTGGATCTTCAACCCAACAAGCAAGCATATGAAACACCTATATATTTATTATGAAAAAAAAGCATATGGCTGTTTAAATTTTTTTTTATTTTTTTTTGGGTTATTTGTGGGTTTTTTAATGCTAAATTTGTTTACCTTTGGCACAGCTCCACCGGTAGTGTAATGGGTGGCTTCATCATGGTAGTGAACGAGTTCCATTGCGGTTCGGAGAGCTCTTTTTCTTATGAGCTTGTTTAAAGGCCATCGATGTAATACATTCTCCGAAAACATATGAACACTTTTCCAAAACAAATCTTGTACAAATGTTTGTCGATAATACAGATCTTCCTGCATCAGCAGCTAGCACATTTTTTTTTGTTCCGGTTAACATAAGTTTTTTCATGAGCAATATATAAGTTGAAATTACCTTTGCACACCGATTGCGAGCTTGGCTCCAAACAATTTCCGCATAAGGCTGAGGATAAAGCTCTTCACGGAGCTGAAGAATAAGAGGTGTTTGTGTAGCTACAAATTTTGCACCATACAAATAGGACAATGCCATGAAAGTATCTCGTAAATAAGGCCAAAGAGTGCCTGCATGCATATATGATTTTTTTTCTATTAGTTCCGGATCTTGGTTCATAATCTCTTCCTCTGCTCGGTATGTTAATAATACTAGGTTTTAAGGAACTAATGCCATCATAACTAAATTAATAGTTTCAAATTCAAACCTCCATTAATAGGGAAATAAGAAGGAATGAACCAGAACTCTGGCGGTATTGGTTTGCAGCCAGACCAGTCGTACACTCCAAGGACCTAGTAATTTCTAATGATAATTTAGTTACGTATAAAATATCACCATATTAAGATGATGATAAAGATAGATTATCTTGAATCAGTGAGTATATATTTGTATGTATATATGCATACCGAAAGCCAAGCTTTTCCGAACAATGGCGTAAAGGTAGCACCACCGTGGTCAATGATCCATCTTCGAGCCCTTGCACAAGCACTTTCTTGACCATCATGATCTGGATCCACCCCCAAAATTCTTAGGCAAATATAGTTGGTGACCGTGCCGAACATAAAGCTGTGGCTTTCTACATCTATCCCCCAGCCACCATCGTCGTTCTTGATAATATGATTTGACCCATTTTGGAGAATATCCATGAAAAAAAACGGTGAAGTTACTTGGCCATCTAATTTGGATGACATCGAGCTATATCTATAGTTTAAGTACATATGTTTTTCTTTGTATTAGAACTCTTTATACTAAGTTAATGTTCAACAAAAAATAAAATAAATAAATAAACTAAGTCACGTACCTGATGGTTGTACATGTAACGCAGAATCTCTTTCTGATGTTCCTTAGAGAATATTTTTTCTAGATGGCCAGTGATATACAAGCATATGACCTGATATTATTTTTGCATCGTTGATTATTTTCTCATTTAATTTTTAAGATTTAGTTTAAGTTTTATTTTGGGTTAAATTAATTAATAGAGAACTTAAGTGTAGCTCACAAAGGGGGCGTCAAATAACATGCAACCAGAGTTTTCAGCAGGCCAATGTCCATCATCAGCCTGTAATGCCGCCATATAGAGTAAACCTCTTCTCAGCGCCGTCTTGGCATCTTCATACCTTATTTTCTTTGCATCCTCTATTCTCGCTCTCGGAATCTTCTGCTCGAACTTCTTCTCCCTTAGAAACTGTTAGACATATAACCAAAAGTAAACTAGAATTATATTCTGCCGTGACACCGTGTATAAGACCAATTACGCTCATGTGTTCCGTGGTAAAAGGGTTTCACCTGCATACGCCAAAGGAGATCGGCACTGGCCTTGTATCCATTGTTTGAAAAATTCCGGCGAGCCTCTTCGACCTCAGCGAGTTCCTCTGGAGAGCCCACGTTGGCATCAAACTCCCATACCTGCCGTCCAATGTAATTGTTGGTGGTGCTCATGTGAGAGTCCTTTTCTGCCTTAGCTCCGATCCTCAGCCTCCACATTTTGTATCAATTTTTTGTACTAGGCTAACGCTTCAATGAGATCTTACACTATATATATATCAAATTATCAATATGTGTATGTGTGTGTTATGATATTATTTAATTGTATGTATATTGTATGCATGTATATGAGATCTAAAAATATGATGTTAGTAGAGTATTCGGCAATATGATTAGCTCTTATACGCATCAATTAGAAAGGAAAATGGTTATATGGATTATGGATAGTATTTAATTAGAGTGGCTGGTGGCTTGTCTTTTTGTTTTTCTTTTTTGTCCGTCTTATCTTAATATCTTGATATATAAACATGAACGGTCAGTAAAGTTTAATACTTAACAAAGTTAAGTAGACTTTATTCGATTACGACTTATAACATTTTAATAATTAATGAAATTCTGGATACGTGTAAAATTAAATTAGTTCTATATTCTAAGGTACTTTTAAACTTGCTATCATACAAATTCCAAGAACCATGAAGGTAGACAAGCTAGCCCCACGGTGGGCGATTACATGCGGAGTATGAGTTTTCTTGAACCTTGAAATCATTTATTCGGATGCATTGGTACTGGCCCATTGTTGTGCTGATTACTTTAGTACTCAGGTATACTCGTTGAAATGAATAAAAATAAACAAAGAAAAAAAGCAAACAGAAGAAGTTTTTTTTTTTGGTTAAAATAAATAAACTGTTAATCATCGCCCACCGTGGGGCTCGAACCTACGACCACAAGGTTAAGAGCCTTGCGCTCTACCAACTGAGCTAGACGGGCTTTGTTAATCAAATAATTTCCTACAAATAAGTCTAATTATTTATCCCTTGTAACGTAGATTTACCAAATTGAGGAATGAGGAGGCAAAAGTCTAATGCAAAGTGGCTTGAGAGTCAAGGAATGGGCTACTAGAAGGCTTCTATGCATTTATGAGTGGAAAAGAATATCTCTTTTCAAATTGATGGGTGGTTCAATTAAGACCAAAAGGTGATATTTCAAGATAGGAAAACCCATAACTTGTAGGCTGTTTGGGTCACTCCGTCATCCATTTGTGATCTGTAATATATAAACAAGATATATTGGATAGGAATACTTTAGAATTATAGCCTCGAGGTTGTGAAATAATGTGAGGTCAGAAAAAGTGGGTCTTAACTCTTAATTAAGTCTCCTACTTACTTTGAGAAATGAACACGAATGTGATGATCTGTCCTTTACAATACTAGGGGCCGTACGCTGGTATGCATTGAGCTAAAGAGGGTTCTTACAATTTTCTGATTTTTTTCAAAAATCTTGAATGGATTTCTTTCAATAATTTACAGCTAAAAACAAAATTTCCTTGTGAGTTATAAACGCAACGGCGAATGAAAATATTGCTTTCCTACTGTATCTAGTATATTTAGCGATTGTGTTCTTCCTTTACAAAAACTATCTTATGTAAGAAGTAAGAATATTGTTTCAATTTCGAATGTGAAAAACAAATCACATGTATAAACACAAAAGCAGTAATTAGCGGGTACTACAGCTATAGTTAGAAACTATACTAAAAATAGCATTACACAGGAGTGATGCTATGATTAAAGTGACATATACACTCTTACCTATTATTGGGGTCTATAAAGAAACATATCTTTCTCCTTCTTTCACTTTGCCCACTTCACTATGTAACCACCTTCATTCTGTAATTTGCATGCATGTATATGTTGCATTTGTTACATGAGTACATCACTCGCATATATAATTATACTATTATTTAAGTTCTTGTAACATCAAGAAATGTTTATAAAATCTAAAAAACGATTTTATTGAGCATAAGATTTGTTAAGCATCTGTATACGTGACTGAGTTAGTATTGTCATCTTGCGGCCTCATAATCATTTTGCATGCTTACCCTTGTGATTAGTCTGAACTCGGACGCTTCTCGGTGAAATTTGAATATCAAATGACAAAGTCTGAAAAAATGATATATAACTCTTCAAATTATCTCAATCGAAAAGAAAATATGTATAAACCGCTACTGAAATGTATTTTTTTATTAGACGATCATATGAGTAATAAGTACATCAAGAACACATGGATGGTTGAAGAAACATCTGGTCCAAAAATTGAAACCGAAGGACCACTAATCGATAGTGTGACATCACGAACGTGCAGCGTAACCATATATGCTGTAACAAAATACATGTAAAGCCTATTATATCATATATAAAAAAATCTCACAAACCGTGGGCGTACACCAACTTTTTCTACTATTCCAATTTTTTTTTGGGGTATCAATATATAGCTTAGCATTTACTACTAGTTACGTTAGAGATAGGGTCGACCTATGTATTTGACATTTCTAGATGGTAGAAGCTAAAGAGCGTACGATAGATATACACATTAAGAAGTTGTCTAGTAAAAGAGAATCGGGTGAAGAGTAACATGGCGTTCATGTGCGCACAGCTAACTCCAAGCCCAATTAATGTCATTATCATACAAAACCACCAACATAAGACCAACAAATTTACAAGAGAATAATGAAATGCACCCATTTGATTTGATCTATAATTTTCCCGATAGATCTGTAATGAAGCATTTACATAAAACAAAAAGTAACAACACAATATTGTTGGACTCTTGTAATTATCATGTCTTCTTGTTTCCATCTCGTACGTATATTCCTCGAATCCAATCCATTATGTCCCTAATTAAACTAGAAAGTTTCAACTATTAAAAATAAATGAATTAACTTTAGAAGTCAAATTTTGGATTATCGGTTCAGGACTAGGGCTCGAAGATCCGACATAACCTTCTTCTTCTTTTCGTTATCTAGGGGTGATCTAGGCTGAACCCCGACTAATTATCTTGAATGAATGTATTTTTTGAATAACTCATCACATTTTCTAATGTAGCTAATTAAAACATAGTACTATTAAGATCAGTCAAAAAGAGAACAATACAAAAGTGTGACCAATACCATCTCTGCCATTTCAAGCGTATTTTCATTAAAATGGAAGTTTTAGTTCTTAAATAAAGTCTGTGAAAAAGGTATCTAAGCCAATTTGATTATTAAAATGTGCTTATCTTCCTAATTATCCTTAAATTTTGTTTCTATGACGTAGAAGAAAAGTATATCTAAGAAATAAGGAATAATATATTAAAAAGTATATGTATCTAACGACAAAAGTTGAGCTAAGAGACCACCTATGTGGCTTTCCTAAACACATGGGGCCAAAACTCTCAAGAGAAATGCAGATGGAACTGTTGATAGAAAAAATTAATGCTTGTTTTAGATTTTGACAATCTTCTACCTTTAAACCGTTCATCAGATGACTTTTTGACTAAATCAGCTCCTTTGATTAAGGAATCTGCTGTCTATTTCTCGTGAGATTTTGTTTTTCGTTTAAATAATCATTGGTTTGCATTTGAAAGAGATGTATTTTAAGCCTAAACATCATTGGTGTATATATATATACTGAACCTAACCTTTCTCATAATTATTCTTTTAAATTCTACTTCTCTTTTATATCTGACCACGCATGTTCGTAGCCTTCCCCATTTTTCAGCATGGTCCGAAGACCGATTTATTACTTCATAAAATTTTGAAAGAGTTATCGACTAGTCAGTCTTGTGCATACAAATCATCAAAATTTATTTTCGTGCTCTGTACATGCAAGATTTTAAAAATCACTAGTTCCTACTATCTCACTCGATCATTTCTAGATTGTTCTCGATTGAATCAAAACTACTACACCAGTTTAAAGAGCTGAGATTTTGGGAATAACTGAAACCTAACCTCGGAAAGGATGAACAGAGATTCAGAGCTTTGAGAAACAGTAACAAAATATAGAGAAAAATAAATTGACAGAGCACATGGGTAGTGTGTGTGCAGAAGGAAAATTGTAAAATAGTAACTGAAAATAAAAATAAAAATTTGTTTGAAAGTGTCACAAGCTCTTCCTAACCACAAGTCCTGCCCTGCTTTGTACTCTTCAGTACATTGCTATTTCCAAAGTCCGTGATTGACGCTCCTTAACGACACCTCTGCTCTGCAGGTAGAGAGGGACACGAATTGACACACCTTGAAATGTTCTCTCAATTATTTTAGTTGAAATCTTTTAAAGAATCTTTTGTTTTGCAAATTATAACATCAGAATAAAAAAAAGTTGATAGACTAAGTTGGCTAAAAGAAGAGATTAGAATCATTTGATAACGGTTGCTGAACGTTTATGAACTTTTAATAAAATCGATATATTAATTTATTTTGTTGATAGGCAGATTATGGACCTTCGATCCATTTCTCCACCACTGGCTATGACTTGATATGGATTATTAGAATTTAGAAAATATTTAAAAATACATGCAAGAGTATTGTTTGGATGTTGTAACGGACTATTAAACATTCGTTATTGATATACAGTCTGCATGCGGTCTACAATTATTCAGTTGCATGATATCTCCTAAATAATAAATCAGTTTAGATTCGGTTAATTTTTGTTTTTAAAACAATTAAATAAAGATCAAGCTTAAACAGAAATCGATCCGATACCACTTTTAACATCTAAGTATGTATGTTTCAAACTTTCAAGTCCATACAAATCAGAGAAATAAATCCACATAGCATTTATGGGTTATCTTGTTATGAACCAGGTGGTGATCAAAGGGACCATAGTGTCATAATAGGACCAACAAAAAATGGTTATAACCTCTAATATCTTTTGTCATTGTGGCTTCCACACATATCTCTAACTTTCACTTTGACACATAGACATACACAACACACGCATGTCTTTATAAATATATACACCTCACCCTTCAATATCCACCCAACCATCCTTCAGTTCATCCATCTCTTTGTCTCTCTCTCTCTAGACACAACCAAAAACTTTTCTCTCAAAAAAACCACACAAAAATGGCTATCTTCAAGAAATCTACAAAACTAGCTCAAACAGCAATGCTCAAGCAAATTCTGAAGAGATGTTCGAGTTTGGGGAAGAAGAATGGAGGAGTAGGATATGTAGGAGATGATCTTCCACTTGATGTACCAAAAGGACACTTCCCTGTCTACGTAGGACACAACAGGAGCAGATACATAGTTCCTATTTCCTTCTTGGCCAATCTAGACTTCCAGTGTCTTCTTAGAAGAGCTGAGGAAGAGTTTGGTTTTGATCACGACATGGGTCTCACTATTCCTTGTGACGAACTCTTCTTTCAAGATCTGACTTCCATGATCCGATGAGATCTGAATAGTTTCAACAAGAAGACGAAGAACAAGTAAGGATATAGAGATGGAGATGGTTAAAGAGGAAGTTTTTTTTTGTTTAATTTGATAGCTTCTCTTTTTTTATAAAACATCCTATCTCTATCTTTAAGTTCGATGGCCCTCTCATGTCTTTCTTATATTTTCTCTGTTTTTTAGTCTTATTTTTAAGCTCATCTTGAGTCTTTTTTTACGGGTTAATATTTGACTCGGCTAACCAAAGAAACCCATGACATGGAAATTTTTGGGTTTAGATCGGTGAAGAAAGCTTGTAATAATTTCCAAATGTATGTTTGGTTAGTTATTGAATCTGTTAAAGAAATTAATTACTATGCTCTTTGCTGATTATTTCGTTCTCCATAGAAACTGTATATTTACATCCAATAAAATCTAATAATTAATTGCTGTATATCAGTTCCTAAGTGTGCTTAAACTTTAGAGTAGAGCTAGTTCATACCCAAACAAAAAAAGGAAGAAGGGAAGTAAGACTCTTTTTTTGTTTAAAAATACTGAAAAATACACTAAACCTTTTTAGTTAAACATCTTGAAAGTTTGAATCTTGGAATCATACATCTCCTAAGACAATGGTCAAAATAGATCGCAAGATAGTTAAGTACTATTTGACTAAAACTCAGCGTCTCTCTCTCTATGCATAACACTTAAGAAGAACCAAGATCATGTGAAACCGAAAGCTAATTACCAAACCTTTAGGTAGATACCTATTCTTCATTGTCAAACATGGGTTGGTCACGTAGTTCGATTTGTTACGGAACGTTAGTTTTTTCTTACGACTCGTAAATGAATACCTTTTTCTTAGTAACATTAAAGTTTCGTACCTAAATCTATACATCTTCCAGAGCCGAAATCAGCGTAAATAATCTTTCCCAACGAAATAAACTTCGTGTCATCCCAAGTGCTTATGTTTTCAGGTAAAGGCGTAAAGCTTACCTAGATTTAACCACTAGCCTAATCTTACATTGGTTAATATTGAAGTCTTTTACTTACTAAGAATAGCTTATAGTAAAAATTTAGTTATGAAAACATTAGATTTTTTACGGTTTAACAACTAGAATCTACATAACTAATAAGGCTTGGACACTCTCAAGTTCGGGACACGTGGCACCTTCTTTTTTTTTCCTTCCAAACGCCAAAACAACGTCGTTTTGTGGCACTTTTTTTTTTCCCTCGCCTAACGCCAAAACGACGCCGTTTCCTGAATTCCCTTCTCAGTGCCTCCAAAACAACGTCGTTTTGATTCTATGTTAATATAATTTTATTCTTATTTCTCACACGATTCCTTCCTCTCCACCTCTCCGCCGAGATCCTCTTGCTCCCGAAATCCACACCTCCATTCCTTGCTTCCGCCGGGACTGTCACTCTTCCGTTTCAACCACTTCCGGTGATTCTCATGGGCAATTGTAACGGTTTCCGGTAACCCTCGCTCTCCACCACCGCCGGCCCGCGCGTTTGAAGATTTGCTCTTAGGACCTACGGCAGAGACAATCACGGTGCGCCTCCTTTTCAGATTTACGGTTATGAATCTGAATTTTGTTGATTGAGATTCCAGTTTTTTTTTCAATTTTGGCTTCACCGTATCTACAGTTTTAGTTGGAATTAGGGCTTCGGATTGACAAACAAATCGTGTGTTCATTCTAAGCTCCTTATATCATTCTTCCTTCTATTGTGCTTCTGGAAATGTTTAAATTCAAACCTCAGATCTGAGAGTTGTGTGATAAATTTGCATAAGCTGATCTGTTTATGTCATATTCTCTCTTATAAATTCTTAGGTTATCATTGTGTATCGCATCTTTCTGGACGATTTGGTCGGTATCATGAAGTTTCTAGAGTACGCTACGAAAGCCCTTTTTTCCTGTAGCTAGTACACTAACCTCGACAGGTTAAACATTATCACAGTCAGTTTTTGTGAATTATGAGAGTCAGTTTTTTTATCCTTCTATTTGGATACTGAAAGGATTTTGATTCCAGATTGAATGTGTTTTTCAGTCATCTAAATCTCGGGGAACGAACTATCAAAGGTTGCTTGGAAGCATATTCTTGTAAGCAACTCTTTGTATTCTCAAACAATTATCAAAGAAAATATGCGAAGCTTATTAATTTTTGTTTGTTTGTTTTCGATTAAAACTCTCAATTTGGAGAATGAGGTAATTTGATAGCATGAAGCGATGCGTACATGTGAAACTCTTTTGGAATTAAGTCTTTGACACGTGGCACTCTCTCTTTTTTTTTTGTTTTTTTTTATGAAAACGACGTCGTTTCCATGGTAGCTTTAAATGGGCTTACAGGCTAATTAGCTCATTTCATTTCCTTTTAAAAAGGATTGCAATTATTATTATCTATGAGTCTGTAGGATAATAATCAATCTATAATGATTGTTAGTATAAGGAAAATTAGAAGAACTCAACTCCAGTCGATAAATTATTGTATAAAAGAACAAAAAAAATATGAAACTATTCACTATGAGTCTATATAAGATTTCACGTAAATAACAACTAAATTTTAAAACTATATGAAAAAAAAATAATTAAAAACTTACAAAATCTAATATATTCGAGTAAAAAACAAATGATATATTCGAATCTAATGTTCTGAATAATTAAATTAAAAATATTTGGTTTAATAAACCCGCGCAATGCTAGTCATTTTAATTTTACCACTTCGTTTATTTTGCCAACTCACGGGTTTGTTCTGGTGTCCGTGTGGTACTTGTTCTTGGTACATTTCTTAATGTTTATTTTTTGTCTTGTCTTCGCCTATAATTTTGTCGACATGCATGATGCTAATATGTTTAATTGTAATAAAATCTTCTTATTTAGAAAAAGGCATATTGCCTTTAAGTTAGATAAAATAAAATACACTAAAGCAAAAGATAATGAGTCATGGTGATAAGGACTAGTGGTTGTGTCCAAAACTTTTACAAAACACATTTAGCTGTATCCAAAGTTTGTGACTCTTAATCATGTTTAGAGCCGCATACATATCACAATCAATTAAAAAGCTCTAACGAGAGGGGAAAATGAAAAAGTAGTGTCATCATATGTCATACTCTTTATACAATCAAAACTATTTTAAAAATTTACAAGTTTTTGATGAAAAATGAAGTTTTGTTGGACCTTATTGGTTGTTGGAGGTGATAATTCAGGAGATAGATTTATATAGATAGGCTACATTGTCTTGTTGACAAAGTGATTGATGACAATAAAGTCATCCATCTATAGCACACTTCAAAGTTCAAATCATATGTAACTAAACAGAATCAGATGATAATAAAGTCAGGAACTTCAACATATTAATATGTTTTAGAAATGAAACTCAACAAACACAAGGGTGTTTTAATATCCACCACAAAACGTAGCTAAAAAAACACAAAGCAAATCACAATCAAGCATCATAGTTTTCAAGTCTCCTACAACCCAAAAGATCTTCTTAGCCATTATCTAGTCTCCATCAATCTATCTTAGAGCAAACCAACATTCACAAATCAACCCACGTCCCTGCAACAACTTAAGCACGTTCTCCTCTGATCCTGCGTGCAAGTTGAATGTCCTTAGGCATGATGGTGACACGCTTGGCATGAATGGCGCAGAGGTTAGTGTCCTCAAAGAGACCCACAAGGTACGCTTCTGCAGCCTCCTGGAGTGCAAGCACGGCATGGCTCTGGAAACGCAGATCAGTCTGCAATCACAAGAGAGAGAGCGACAAATAAGCAAAGAACATGAAGAAGTTGAAAACCATCACATGCTTAGTGTGAATAGTAAGCACACATTACCTTGAAATCCTGAGCAATCTCACGAACAAGCCTCTGGAAAGGGAGCTTCCTGATCAGCAACTCGGTACTCTTCTGGTACTTACGGATCTCACTGTAGATCAAGAACAAGAAACGAAAGAAACAGAGTTTGTCAAATTGGATTATCAATCAAACATACAGTGCAATCGAAACAGAGTTTGGGATGAGAAACAAATAACATACCGAAGAGCAACAGTTCCTGGACGGTAACGATGGGGCTTCTTGACACCACCAGTGGTTGGAGCAGACTTACGTGCAGCCTGAAATTCTCGAAAGACAAACATTTGATAATCAAAATCCAACATTACAGTGTCAATTCGAAGCTTCTTAGATCAAATGGTGATAAAGCCTTGCCTTTGTAGCAAGCTGCTTCCTTGGAGCCTTTCCACCAGTAGACTTACGAGCTGTTTGCTTGGTACGAGCCATCTGAATCATCAAAGCAAAAAACAGAGCATTTCAATTGCTTGATTCAATTTCGTAAAATCAAGCCTAATTTACATGTAAATTCCAAAGTAAATCTCGAAATTGCGGAAAGTGAAACCCTAATTAACAACCGCCGATTGAATCTAACTATCAACAATTTCAGAACCAGCAGATGCTCATATAGCCAAAGAAACAAACAATCGGATAATTAAGTCTAGCAAAGCGATTGATTCCTCTCTAACCTCCTAAAAGGCTAAAACCTAATCTCCAGAAGACGAATCGGCGAAGAGAAGAGAAACTAATCCGCAAACTAAATCCATTCCACATATAACACAATTGCGCAAGATCCAACCGATAAAACGAATGAACATTCCACGAGAAATGAAAGAAAACGAAGAAATTTCGGAAAAATCGTACCTTCTTCTTCTTCTTCTCTCTGTCTTCTTCGAAACCTCTCTGGCTCTCTCGCTTCTCTGAATTCAAAATTGAGCTCGATCTCGAAAAAAAGTAATTAGTTAGAGAGTAAACTCGCGTGTGATATTAATTTATAGGAAGGGAATGACCATCGGACGGTTAATATTGCTCATCAAAGTTTTTTTAATCCTACGGACTGTAGTTACTTTCACAACATGTGTTTACTTTTCTTCCACCAAATCAACGGTCCAGAATAAAATATGTAAATAATAGCATTTTTTTTTGTCGGCAAAAATAGCATGTTTTTATTCATCTAAAAATATGGTAAATGCTAAAAAAAAATAAAATCATTTAAAATAATACTAATTTTGTATATCAATTTCACAGTAAAATTAAATTTAGGAAAATTCTCTAACGTGGACCTATTTTTTTTATAAATAGATTCATAAGTTTTTTTTTTTCCAATAGTAGCACAAATTCAACATAAAAATGATTCAAAACTCTTTATTAATGGAAAAAAACTAAATTCTATGATAAAATAGAACCCAAACATAATTTTCTAAAATAATTTCTCTAAAATAATTTGTGTTACTCTAAAATAATAATTTAATTTTTTAATTCTTTTGTCCATTTGATATTTCTTCTAAAATTCCTTATTTAATTTTGAATTTGTTTTTGAAAAACCCAATAAAACCCTAAAGGAAATAAAATATCCGGCAGGTGGCAAAACCCTTCGCCACTCGGCTTTGTATCCATTTCACAATCACAATCACACAAAACAGTTTAGCACCAAATAAGACCAAACAACAACAAAAAAACCTACGAATCTCACTTTTGTCTGCTTCACTCCCTGACCCATCTTCCTCAACCATGGCGGCCACAACCACCTTCTCCTCCTCTTCCCTCTCTCTCCTCCCTAAACCAAACAATCCTTCCACCACCACCATTAAACCTCTCTCCCTCCTCCCAAAGCCCTTCCTTAAACCTTCCCCTCTCTCCCTCTCCTCTTCTCCTTCTCCTTCCCTCATCCATGGAATCTCCAATTACTTCTCCTCTGACTCCCCTCTCTCTCTAACCAAAGACCACTCTCCTCCCTCTCTCGATCTCAACGACGAGAAGCCTCGAGAAGAGTGCGGCGTCGTCGGAATCTACGGCGATCCAGAAGCATCCCGTCTCTGTTACCTAGCTCTCCACGCGCTCCAACACCGCGGCCAAGAAGGCGCAGGCATCGTAACCGTAAGCAACGAGAAAGTCCTCCAGACGATAACCGGAGTCGGTTTAGTCTCCGAGGTCTTCAACGAGTCCAAACTCGACCAATTACCCGGCGAATTCGCAATCGGACACGTCCGCTACTCAACCGCCGGCGCCTCCATGCTCAAAAACGTCCAGCCTTTCGTCGCCGGTTACCGATTCGGGTCAATCGGAGTCGCCCACAACGGTAATTTAGTGAATTACAAACAATTACGAGCCATGCTCGAAGAGAACGGTTCGATTTTCAACACCAGCTCAGATACAGAGGTGGTTCTTCATTTGATTGCGATCTCGAAAGCTAGACCCTTTTTCATGAGAATCATCGATGCTTGCGAGCAGCTTCAAGGCGCTTACTCGATGGTGTTTGTCACCGAGGATAAGCTTGTCGCTGTTCGTGACCCGTTTGGGTTTAGGCCGTTGGTGATGGGAAGGAGAAGTAACGGAGCTGTTGTGTTCGCGTCCGAGACTTGCGCGCTTGATTTGATCGAAGCGACTTACGAGAGAGAGGTTTATCCTGGTGAGGTTTTGGTTGTGGACAAGGACGGTGTCAAGTCTCAGTGCTTGATGACTCGTCATGAGTCGTCGAAGCAATGCATTTTCGAACATATTTACTTCTCGTTGCCGAACTCGATCGTGTTCGGTCGGTCCGTGTATGAGTCTAGGCATGTGTTCGGGGAGATTTTAGCTACAGAGTCTCCTGTTGAGTGTGATGTTGTCATCGCTGTGCCTGACTCTGGTGTGGTTGCGGCTCTGGGGTATGCTGCGAAGTCAGGTGTTGCGTTTCAGCAGGGTTTGATTAGGTCTCATTACGTAGGGAGGACGTTTATTGAGCCGTCGCAGAAGATTAGGGATTTTGGAGTGAAGCTGAAGCTATCTCCTGTTCGTGGGGTTTTGGAAGGGAAGAGAGTTGTTGTGGTGGATGATTCGATCGTTAGAGGCACGACGTCGTCGAAGATTGTGAGGTTGTTGAGAGAAGCAGGCGCGAAGGAGGTTCATATGAGGATCGCGAGTCCTCCTATTGTGGCGTCTTGTTACTATGGAGTTGATACGCCGAGCTCGGAGGAGTTGATATCTAATAGGATGAGTGTTGAGGAGATCAATGATTTTATTGGGAGCGATTCGCTTGCGTTTTTGTCGTTTGAGACGTTGAGGAAGCATTTGGGGGAAGATTCGAAGAGCTTCTGCTATGCTTGCTTCACTGGTGATTATCCTGTGAAGCCTGAAGAAGTTAAGGTGAAACGTGGAGGTGGAGATTTCATTGATGATGGTCTTGTTGGTAGCTTTGACAATATTGAAGCAGGTTGGGTTCGATAGTCAGTGATCTCTAATTCTCTATTACTCACGTTACAATGCTTGTGTTTTGTTCCAAGTGATCTTATTGTCAAATTTTTGCTTAATGGGATAAGGAAGGATGTTTTTTTTGTTTGAATCTTGAAAGATTTTGGTCTCTGGTCTCAATTTGTGGATTCAGTCAGTCTTATATTTGATCATCACTCAACTTCACTTTAGTTAATTATTATTTTCTTGGAATCAAACAAAATACCAATTCAACGCATTGATTTGCAAACCTGTATTTAATTATATTGTTTAACTTATAATAATCCAAGAGACGACACGCGTCTCAAGGTATACAAATCAGTCAAAGAGTTGATCGAATCGAAGTCACGTAAATAAATTAAACAATGTGACTACTTGAGAAAATTGAAGAGAAAGAGATCATTAACTTCTCTGTCGCTAATTTCATTGCTTCTCAGAATCGATTTTAATTTTCTCCATTTGAATATTTATTCTTCTTCTTCTTCTCGTTTGTTTCCAGCAATCTTCTATTTTGAAAAGAAAAAAAAAAAAAAAACATAAGAGTATGGGATTAGCGATTGTGTCGTTGGTTAGAGCATTTTGGGTTGCTTCTATACTTCCTATGATGATCGATTTGATACCTAGTTCCAAGCTGAGTTCGATTCACCAATTCGTTTTGGGATACTCTGGGAGAGGCAAGATTCTTCAGTCTAAGGTCTTTTCACTCATTGTCTAATACAACTTTTCCTTACATCAAAAGTCTGGAAAAATTGTTGTTGGTTGATGTGAATATGGCTTCAAATACGTTCTTGTAATGTTTAAAGTTTTTTGCTGATTTCTTGAAACTTAAATCGTCTTTTTTTTTGCTGCAAGTCTTAATTGAAAAATGTTAAGTTCCCAAAATGAAAAAAAAAGCATGCTACTTTTAGTTTGCTGAATCTTGGAACTGTTCTGTTTTAGTAATCGTATTTTTGGAAACTTTATATCGGAGTTTTTAAATATCTCTTATCTTAATGCAGAAGTCGACAGTTCCTCAGAAGTTCTTTGCTCACTTCTATGTTCTCGGAGTGACGTGGACGAGTCTCCTGCTCGCTTCCACTTGGATGTATGCTTGCAAAATGGCTCCTTTATCTTCTGAAGAGTTAACCGGAGGAGCTTCCCATGTCGAGCATCGGTTAAAAGTGTGGCGAGCAGTGTTTCTACTTCTTCTGATGGAAACTCACGTTTTGAGACGCCTCATTGAGTCATTCTACGTATTCAAGTATAGCTCTTCTGCTCGCATGAACATTATTTGTTATGTCGGCGGATTGTTGTAAGTTTCTCATCGCATTTTTGATGTTATCTTTAAGCTTGATTTGGCTTTTTTTAACTTCTGTTTTTTTTTTAGTTTCTATATAGGCGTACCTTTATCGCTCTGCGTCAATGTCGCTCCAGAGGTAGCAAGATTCGCTTCTGAGATCACTGCCAATGGAAAAAGCCATAACTCAGCTCCTGAGTTTGGTTTATTGTTGTCTATAAGCTCTCTGATGAAGCTTGGATCGTGTCAGTTGATTGGTGGAGCCATATTTCTATGGGGGTGGTTACATCAACGCCGTTGTCACGCCATTCTCGTAAGTTTTTAACATTTTTTTGTCTCATTGTTTGTGTTGTTTTAGATCTTGAGAGAAGCAAAAAATGTTGTTAATTAATGCAGGGATCGCTCCGGGAAAATCCTAGGCAAGCGAATGAGTATATAATTCCACATGGAGATTGGTTTGAGATGGTCTCTAGTCCACATTACTTGGCAGAAATCGTAATGACATTGATACCTCCCTTTATAGACAAATATGTTCTTCTTTTCCTTCTCTTTGTTGATGGTATGATGATGCTCTGAAATTTAGGTCTTATACGCTGGTTTGCTTATTGCGAGTGGAGGAACGGATGTAACTATTTGGTTACTCTTTGGTTTCGTGGTACGGTGAATGAAAATGCTTTGTTCTTGAAGGTTGTTTGGATTCAGAGAACGAACTTGTATACTCATGTCCTTTTCTTTCTAGGTTTGGAATCTTACTTTGGCGGCTGGAGAAACGCAGCGGTGGTATCTCCGAAAGTTTGAGAATTATCCGGCTAACCGGCGTGCCATTTTCCCGTATGTCTACTGACATGATTAAGAGATAGAAGATGATTATGAAGATGAAGGATGTTGTGTTCGTTTGAATCTTGAAAGATTTTGATCTCTTGTATCATTTTATGGATCCATTTGTTAGAGTTTTCTTGTATTTCTTTATAGTATAAAAAAAAATACAACCCCATTGATTGCAAACCTGTAAATTAATTACATTGATTGATAGCTGGCAAAAAAAAAAAAAAAAAAAAGCTGGCAGAAAAAAAAAAATTACATTGATTGACTATAATAATATTAATCTAAGTTTGATAATTATCACACACGCGTATAAATCACACAGAGATTGATTCCCACGTGGACTGTGATCAAAGCGAAGGGGACCCAAACGAACGACAAAGTGACTTCACAACTAGTAGTTTTCTTTTCCCTCGCACGAAATTCGAAGAAAATTAATCGAAAGAGATCGTAAATTTCATTGCTCCATTTTTTGAATTTGGTATTTCTTCTTCTGCCGTCTGTTTCCACTTTCCAGCAATCTCCAATCTGGAAATGTTTTTGATTTAAATTAGTTAATCCCCCGATTGCGATTACAGAGATTCCTAGGGTTTACGGATTTGAAAAAACCAGAGAGAGACGAGATGAAGACAAGTATGGAATTAGCGATTGTGTGGTTGGTTAGAGCCGCTTGGATCGCTGCTACACTTCCTATAGTGATCGCTTTTATACCTTCTTCCAAGCTGAGATCGTTTCACCAACTCGTTTTGGGTTTCGTTGGGAGGGGCAAGATTCTTCAGCATTCCTCTTCTCAGGTTTTTACTCTGCCTTCTCATCGTCTAAATCCAATTTGTAATTCTCTCCAAGTCTAATTGAGAACGCTGTGAAAAATGGAAGTTTTTTTTGTTCGGTTTAATGTTTTATCTCTGCCTTCTCATGGTCTAATGTTTACATTTTTGCTGGAAAAAAAATCTGATTTTTGAATCATGAAAACAATTAAGCTACTTTTAGTTTGAATCATGAAAGTGTTCTGTTTTTGATTGCTTAATGTGGAAAAAGGCTGGAAATTTTGTTGTAGTAATCGTATTTTTGGAACCTTTGCAGAAGTTGACAGTTCCTCAGAGGTTCTTTGCTCACTTCTATGTGATCGGAGTAGCGTGTACGACTCTCCTGCTAGCTACCACTTGGATGTTTGCTTGCAAAGTAGCGCCTTTATCATCTTCCGAAGAGTTTCAGCTCTCCGACATTGCAAGCCGGTTAACCGGAGGAGGCTCTCATGTTTTCTCCTTCCACAAATCTCATCTGACTCCTGTGGAGCATCGGTTGGAAGTCTGGCGAGCTGTGTTTCTACTTATTCTGATGGAAACTCAAGTTGTGAGACGGCTTATTGAGTCTATCTATGTGTTCAAGTATAGCCCTTCTGCTCGGATGAACATTCTTGGTTATCTTGTCGGAATTTGGTAAGTTTTCTCAACAAACCTCCTCGCAGATGTCAGGTTTCTATAGGCTTTGATTTTGGTTTCTAGTTTCTACACAGGAGCGCCGTTTTCTCTCTGCGTTAACATTGCTCCGGAGGTAGCAAGATTCGCCGGAAACCAAGTGGCTGAGTTCATTGCTAATGGGAAAGGCCATTCCTCATCCCCTGAAGTTGATCTTGTGTTGTCTATAAGCCCTCTGATGAAGCTTGGATTATGTCAGTTGATTGGTGGAGCCGTTTTTCTTTGGGGATGGTTACATCAACGCCGTTGTCACGCCATTCTTGTAAGTCTTTTTTTTTTTACATTTTTTTGTCTCTCATTGTTTGTGTGTGTTTTTAGATTCTGAGAGATACAATAATGTTTAATGCAGGGATCTCTCCGGGAAAGTCCTAGGCAAGCGAATGAGTATATAATTCCGCATGGAGATTGGTTTGAGATGGTCTCTAGTCCACATTACTTGGCAGAAATCGTAATGACATTGACCTCCCTTTATAGACAAAGATGTTCTTCTTTTCCTTCTCTTTGCTAATGGAATGATGCTGCTCTGAAATTTAGGTTTTATATGCCGGTTTGGTTATTGCGAGTGGAGGAACGGATATAACCATCTGGTTACTCTTCAGTTTCGTGGTACGGTGAATGAAAATGCTCTGTTTTTTTCGTAATGTTGTTTGGATTCAGAGAGCTTGTATTCATGTCCTTTACACTTTGTAGGTTGGGAATCTGACAATGGCGGCTGGAGAAACTCACCGGTGGTATCTGCGGAAGTTTGAGAATTATCCGGCTAACCGGAGTGCCATTTTCCCTTATGTTTATTGACTGGTTAAGAGGATAGAACACAGCTTATAACCCATGTACGAATAGTTGAAGAATATTCATGTTTTTTGTAATTGCTAATTTATGAAGATCAAAGACTTCTGGTGCTATGTTAGTGTTATAATAGCAATGCTTTTCTTCTTTATGATATTGTTACCTCTTTCATTTCAAGAACAAGAGTGTGGTTTAGGAACTTAGCCTTCTTTTACACTAGACCGATGGAATTAAGGTCAGAACATTATTCTCAATCTTAAAACTTAATAAATAAATAGTTTTGTCATCCTTCTACCATCAGGTATGCCGTCTTAGCTCAGTGGTAGAGCGCGTGACTTTTAATCCCGTGGTCGAGGGTTCGATCCCCTCAGACGGCGAATGGTTGTTATTTTTATTGTAATAATTTGTTTTTTTTCATCAAGCTCGTGGCATTAAAAAAAAAACGCAGGTTTTTTGTATAACTAAAATAGATAACAGCAAAATGGGCTAATCTTCGAGGCTTCGACCCAGTTACGACGCGGCCCAAAGTAACAACGTGTTTTCTTCAACTCTATTATACAACAAAGTACGTCGTCGTCCCCTTCCACTCATCTGAAAATCCTAAAAAGCGAAAAAAAACTCAGAGAGGTCGCTGCAAATTCCAAGTCTCTCTTTCCCTCCCCAGATTTGAACGAACCCGTTTAAGATCCGAGAAGATGTCTACATTCAGCGGCGATGAAACTGCTCCGTTCTTCGGCTTCCTTGGCGCAGCGGCCGCCCTCGTCTTCTCCTGTAAGCATTTGCCGTCTTCTCAATTCGATTCTGACTCACTCTTATCTAAATTATTCTTTCCCATCCAATTCTTTTTTTATCTGATCGTCTTCCTGTTTTTCTGAAAATCCGATGAGATTTATATGATTGCTTAGAGAATTCCTGAGAATATGGTCACGTTTCTCCATGTTTTTTGAATTGCTGCTTGTGCATAGCTCTAGAAGTGTTTGTATTAGATCGTTTGCCTAATTGATTGAATGATTAGTGTTTTTGCTTCGATCTGCATCCACATGATCATCTAATCTCTTCGAACAATTCATTTGCATCATCATGAATCCTCTTTGACTCTCAATCTGAGAAAATTTGCTTAAGATCAGAGTCTGGTTTGAGTCAAAAACGCTCTTTGTTTACATTTCACTGAGAATTGGAACACATTTGTTGGTTAACCTGAATGTTAATGGATGTGATTCATATTTCCCATGATCATCAACTGTTCGCACAATGTAGAGTAGAGTCTGATTTTAGAGTAATGATTTCAAAAGCTCTTTTTTTTTGGATTCCCTGAAACTTTGAAACACATTTTTCTGCATACAAGGATCATAACTTGAATGTTACCTGGATTGGGGTTTGTTAGGTATGGGAGCTGCGTACGGGACTGCAAAGAGTGGTGTTGGTGTGGCTTCAATGGGAGTGATGAGACCTGAGCTGGTGATGAAGTCGATTGTCCCTGTGGTTATGGCTGGTGTTTTGGGTATTTACGGACTGATCATTGCTGTTATCATCAGTACCGGTATCAATCCAAAGGCTAAGTCTTACTACCTCTTTGATGGATACGCACATCTCTCCTCTGGTCTCGCCTGTGGTCTTGCTGGTCTCTCAGCTGGAATGGCCATTGGAATCGTGGGTGATGCTGGTGTCAGGTTTGTTAATCTTCTTGCAAGTAAAATGTTTCAGAATTTGGTGATTGAAAAATCATAATTTGGAGCTTGACTTGTTTGAAATTTGTTTCTCAGGGCAAATGCTCAGCAGCCTAAGCTCTTTGTTGGGATGATTCTTATCCTCATCTTTGCGGAAGCGCTTGCTCTCTACGGTCTCATTGTAGGCATCATCTTATCGTCTCGAGCTGGCCAGTCCAGAGCAGAATGAGAAACAGTAAAGAACACAAGATTCCTTATCGATCGACTTCTTTGATCAGCTTGCTACCTCGCTTCCCTCTTGATGGTGGTTTGCTTTGAGTGTAGGATGATATTGTTTGGGTAATAAAAGAGCTTCGGGCATGTTTTTTGTATTCTTGTATTGTGTCAACAATTGTGTCTTGGAGGAACTTTGATGATGTTTTGTTTGTAAAGAAGTTTGCTTCTGAAACCATCTTTGAGTGTGTTATGATGAGATTTAAATCTTTTGGCAAGTTTTGGTTTTAAGATCAGATAGCTTTTGAATTGACACAAATTTATGAATTACATGGTAAAAAAGTGATGAAAATAAGTTTTTGATAAATTTGCGTAGGAAACAACATTTAATCTTACGTACACTTAATTTTTTTTGACTAATCTTTATGCTAAATTGCTAATGTATTCTGTAAATTTGGACGATTTTCTATATTATATTAGCGAAGTTTAGTTTAATATTCGTAAGTCAACCTATATAATACATTGAGATTTTCGAATTACCCATTTTACAAAGCATATATATCAAAATTCTAATGCAACCATAACACATTATAACTTCAATTTTAATGCAAAAAGCTAAAAATAAAGCATGACTAGTAACTTTTGTGTTATGCCAATAATTCAAACCTAATGCACCGTCAATATCGAAACAAAGTTGAGACATGCATTAATTCAAACCTACTACACTGCAGATGGAGAAGGCAATGATTCTAAGAATGATTTAGAGCCTACAGCTCAGAAAACAAATACCAATGTCGATAACCCCATATCAGAAAAAAACACAAGCTACGACAAAAAAACAAATCGGAGCTAATGCAAAATTGGCTGGAGATTCACTAAAACGAAAGTCTAAGCAGCAAGAAACTCAAGGTCCTAATGTAAGAAAGGCTAAGCCTAATATGAATGAATTAGTACACTGCAGATGAAACAATATTTGATATGTTAATGTGCACATGGATACATACAAAGAACTCAAAGTTTTCTTTCAACTAATTAATATCCTGAAAAACCTGAAAAAGAAAAAATATATATTAGTTTTTCTTATTTGTGATTAAAGATTGTATAATGAATGAATGAGTAGAGAGGAAAGACTTTACTGTTCTAATATGGCTTAAAATCGAGATAATCGCCTGGTTCATATATCTTCTTATCATGCATATCATTGTTTCAAATGAAAAATTGTTTAAAACCAAAAATAAACTGAAAAATTGTTAGTTTTGCAGGGACAAAGCAAAATAAAATTGAGTTAAGTACCTCTGCTGAATTCGTGTCACAGGAAGATATGTGAGTATCTAGACAAATTCTCTTGTACAATATCAGCACAAGTCATTAGATTTGCTGATATTATTAAAATTTAAAGCCAAAAAAGTAAACTATAGGCCATGTTTGATAAATTAGGTTGTTTCAAGGGACCTCAAAAATCAAAATACATATTGATTATGTTCAACATGGGAGATAGCACCAATCCAAATTTGAGGATGAGAAGTGACAAGATTCAGAAGGAATTTCAAGAAATCAAATAGAAAGCAATGGTTTTTTATTTATCTCTCTTTGTTGGGTTTTGGGATCAAATTACGCATATACCCTTTAGCATTTCCCATACTCTTATTTTTAGAAATATCATATTGCTTATTTAATCTTTTGATCTAGGGAGATATCGATTGAAATGAGAAAATTTATTTGTATAAACAAATCCATTTGTTTACTATTTGTAGATTAAGTCATAATCGTACTTTAACCACTAAAATTTCATTTTATTCTTGGTATCTTCCGACATTTCCCAACAGTTGCTCTAGCCCAACCGTTGACCTTAATGTTGATATCTCTACTTAGCAATGACACCACATTATATTAATCTTCGTTTCTACAAACAAAATATTAGCAGAATGAGAAACAGAAAAGAACACAAGATTCCTTATCGATCGACTTCATCATTTTGTGGATTCTTGGAACTTTGATCAGCTTGCCACCTCTGTTTCCTCTTGATGGTGGTTTGCTTTGAGTGTAGGATGATATTGTTTGGGTAATAAAAGAGCTTCGGGCATGTTGTTTTTTTATTCTTGTATTGTGTCATCATTTGTGTCTTGGAGGAACTTTGATAATATTTTGTTTGTAAAGAAGTTTGCTTCTGAAACCGTCTTCTTTGAGTGTTATGATGAGATTAAATTTTTGGTGTCTTACAATTTTTGGCTTTAACTTTTAAGATAAGATAGCTTTTGAAGTTTGAACTGAACCAAATTCATGAAGACATATTGAACAAAGTTTTTGAAGATAACTTAAATAATTTTATATAGGAAACAACAATTAGATGTTTATTTATTAATCTTGATGCTACTGTATTCTGTAAATTTGGACGCTTTTCTATCTTATTAAGACTATTTTTTTTTTAGAAAAAACATATTTATATAATTTAGAAATGTTACATGCGACATTTATGGCCGTAAATAGAGTTAGCGCCGAAGAGGCCTTCATAAAATGTAAATTATATGGTGCTCATGACAAAACAACAGGCGTTATGACTACTCATTGTGTGCAACGATCGCTTTTTCAAAAACAACTTACATATGAAGAAAACGACTTTATCGATTTGGGACCATTGGTTACAGAAATCTCTCGTACCGAATGTTTTGCAATGTTTTAAATCACACATCGAATGTTCCATCTTTTTTTCATGCTATAAAAGAAAATCAGAACATAAATAATAATAAAAAAATTATGAGCAAATGCTTAGCAAACAAAAAGAAATTGTGTAGCAAATGTTGTTACAATTTTATTCTACATCATAGAATTACATTATATATCGATTTAAAGATATGTAAGATGTATGTAAGAAATAGTACGCAATATGTTATCATAGGAGCACCAACCAAAGTTAATGCACGTATGACAGCAAGTCATGTCATATATGTAAAAATTATCGTGTAATCTATCTATATCAATAAGACCTAGTGATCGATTTCAGCTAATTGATTCCCTATTGAAAAGGGGAGTGACGTAAAGCATTGCGGCTTGCCGATAATATCACAACGATCCATTTAGGAACAATGAGTTTTTTCTCTCAACCTTCACCATTCCTAAATAGAATGATCTATTCACGTACGTAACTTTTCTTTGCCCTAAACGGATGATCAACGCGGTTTTTTGTTTGCTTTTACAACAAGGTGGTGACTGATTAGTCTGATTGAGTTTACATTTTTGAAAAAATAGGCGGTGTAGTTAATGAGTACTGATTACTGAATATAGCAATATTTGTTAACGTTGAGTGTGTGTGTGTATGTATGTAAATATGGTGCGTCATGAGTCCATTCGATCGGCATCATCATTCATTCATCACAATTTTCTTGTTAAAAAAAAAAATTGAAACACCAAATCTCTAAAAAAAAAAATCCGTTTTCTCTCTCAAGTCTCTCAAGATGAATGCTACATTTGAGGAATTGCTTTCCAAGGTTTCCACAGCGACGAAGAACGGGAACGCAATCAGCAAGGCTTACGAAAAGGCCATGAAAGCCGGTTTGGAAGACGATGAGTTCGGAGACTGTATAAACAAAATCCTTTCACTTCTGGAGGAATTCACAATTGAAGCAGAACATGCTAGGGAGATGGAGGCAAAGCTCCGACACCAGTCTACGAAGACGCACCCCACCTTCATTCGAGATGTTATGAAGGCGGAGGATATCGCCAAGAGTGCCGTCCGGAAATCAACAACGGCGAGGGTGCGAATGGAGGCGACCGTTGCTAGAGCTTACGAGAGGAAGAAAGCAAGGGATGATGCGGCATTGGAAAGGCAAAAAGCAGAGAAAGAAAAAGCAGGAGCTGTAGGGAGCAGTGCATGAAGAAGATGACTCACTCAATCATATACTATATTAATTTATGCGCAAGATCATTATCAAAACAAATTAAGGTAATAGTATAGATAATCGTATTTTAAACGTACTAATTTATAAACATTGTTCTTAGAATAAGTAGTAACAAACAGTATTATCAAACATCTTGGAGATCACACCACATCTATGATCTATAGTGTGTATCAAATGAAGCTTTGTGTTTTATTTTAGGCACTTGAATCCGAAAATTAAAAAGGATCTTGGGAATGTTGCGAAAAGATTTGTGCACTTGGTAAAAAACCACGTGATTTTGTGTAAAATCCCTCAGTCTCATTCAAAATACTTTGATGGTCGCTATAAACGCTTCAATATCATCACGTGTTTACATGGTTCATGGTTGTAAAAACCATAAAAATAAAATAAAAAATAAACAAGTTATGTGTTGAAAAGTGAAATCGTGGATAAACTAAGTGCAAGCACACGTATTACCGATTTATTACAAAGAAATGAGAAGATAAGTTGATAACTAATATGTTGGTTGTAAATGTCGATAAGAAATAAAACCTACAAAGCCATTTTGGTATTTTGAGATTGCGAAAATGTAAAGCGGAAAAAGTCATGACTGTACGTAAAAAGAGCTGATTACATTGTCATTTAATTCTCTCTGACTTACTTATTTGCATTCTTGTTACAATATTACACGTATATGACAATAAGCCAAAAAAATATCATTTTCGCATGATTAATAGAGGCAGGTGTTTAATAAAGGGCACATGCTCATTTCCATTTTTAAAGAGTAGATGGATCGAAATAAACGCGGGAAAACGGCCGATTCCTACCCCAACTACAATTATAGGCACCAATTCCTACCCAACTTTTATGTGTACCAATCCCTACCTGAACTACAAAAACTCGTCCTTTCCATACCCGAACTAATATTTTCATGGCCAATCCGAACATTGACTAACGGGACTTAGGTCAACGACGATTTCCCGTTAACGGAGATGAGTCACCACGACACGTCACCTGCCCCGTTGGAACGAAGTTCAAAACGACGTCGTTTTCACGACGTCGTTTTCACGAAAACGAAAATCAAATTGTAATCGCCGGTTAAAATTTAATTTCGGTTCAATTTCGGTTTAATGTCGGTTCAAAACGTCGTCGTTTTGAAAATAACAAAAAATCACATGTTTCTATCGAGTGGTGTCGCGAGAAAGAGATAGATTGCGTATTGGTGAAATCGATTTGGGGAAACCTCTAGCATCTAGGGTTCATAATTCACACAAAGATAGAAAGGATGTCCACATCATCGAATCACATAGATAATGCAGAGAATTCAGGTCAGTTTACTTATGGCAATCGAATTATAGAAATTGATTCATGGGAAACGTTTTTTAATCGGTTCTGATTTCGAAATGAAAACGTAAAACTTTTATAGGCTTGATTATGGGTGTCGGAGTTCGTCCGAGAAGAAGAGGATTTCCCAATTTTGTAGGTGTGGAGAAGAAGTTTTGATGAAAACCTCAGGGACGGCAAAAAATCCGGGACGATTGTTTCATGCTTGTCCATACGGATCTGAATTGGTAAACATTTTTGAAATTGTAATGTTATTGAATAGCCTTGAGAACATGTAGTCAGACTGTGTTTTCATGTTTCAGGAAAAATACCACTTCTTCAAATGGACTGATGTTTCAATGGTGGAGGAGATAGAAGACATGAAGAAGAAGATTGAAAATTTAGAAGTTCAGAGAAGATCTTCGGAAGAAGTGATAAGCTGCCTTGCGAAAGAGATTGAAACTATGAAAGCAGAGTCACAAGGAGGTGAAAAAGAAGAGAACGAAGGCAAGGAGATTGTTGGTGATATGCCTTTCTTCAAGAAACTGGTTTGTTGTTTCTGGGCATAAATTTGCTCTTGGTGTACTAGCTTTAGGGAGCAACCATGATGATTCTAATTTGTAGCTTTATGTGTTATTCTTCTTTTTTATTCAAAATGTAGTGCAAACAATTACACAGAAATAACAGAAGTTCAACTTACTTTTTCAGTTCATCTCGGTAGTCTTTCATCCGAGAATATTGTTTATCATATTCTGCTTCAATGAGTTCCAAAGCTTTCTTCTTTGCCTTCCGACATTGATTGTGTGACAGAGCTACATTGTAGAGATCATGAATCTTCTGTTGCATATCGACAGGCTTCAGTGAGGGATCGTTTCGCAGCTCGTTAATGAACATGTCACAGATTACTTGTTGTGACAAAATCCAGCATCGACCATCTGGTAGACATGTATGTTGATCTTGGAACGTCTTAATCATCCACATAGAAACTGGTCTCTCATAAGAACAGTAGATTCTCCACTCGCACTTCTTGATACCACACACAGCAGAACACTTAAATTTTAACCGGCGATTACAATTTGATTTTCGTTTTCGTGAAAACGACGTCGTTTTAAACTTCGTTCCAACGGGGCAGGTGACGTGTCGTGGTGACTCATCTCCGTTAACGGGAAATCGTTGTTGACCTAAGTCCCGTTAGTCAATGTTCGGATTGGCCATGAAAATATTAGTTCGGGTATGAAAAGGACGAGTTTTTGTAGTTCAGGTAGGGATTGGTACACCATAAAAGTTGGGGTAGGGATTGGTGCCTATAATTGTAGTTGGGGTAGGAATTGGCCGTTTCCCAAATAAACGCATTGATGCAATTTGTAACTTGTAAGAAACCCAATATGTTTTCCCTTTTGGTTAAATTCAAGTCCTCTATAGTATTTGTGTTTTATATATTATACCACATCATATTTGTTTTAGTACATTGACGAATTTCATAGAAGACATTAGACGTATTGCGTCATGACTCATGAGACGAACAAGTATGCATTTATGTATAAATGTGTAATGTATTTGTTATCAAAAGAGAAGTACCATTGGTTGAATATAAAAGGAGTAAACATGTTTAAAATTGATACTATCGAAAATAAATATGTGGCTGAGGAGGAGCGTTGCGACATTTACGACTTTTAGAGGACAACGGAAATCTGTCAAATATGAACATGCAAAAGGAATTTGGCAAATAAACTATCTTCAATTCAAGGAACTTTTAAAGTAACACTTTAAATACCTGAACACCCGAAATACGTAACACAATTTAATCCAAACGAAACCACCATTTTAGGCTCACATCCATCATAATTCATGATAAACGAAACTCCAAAACATTGATACAACACAAAGTTGTTTTATTACAAGGAAGAACAATGGTAAATAAAAGAAGATTCACAGGCATAATATTTAGATATATTTCAGTTAGTTTACATTCTCTTGTTTAGAACGTCTAATTTTCTTTTTTTTTGTTTTTTCATTAGCGGCAGATAAATTTGATGTACCAGTTTTAAGCATATGGTTTGTATGTTCATACAATTTATCAACTGGTTCTTTAAGGTCGTATAAAGAGCAGTTAATCTCTTCCATCTCTTTGTCGGTCACAAACTCATGCTTCTTCTCTGCTTTTGCCTTTACCAAATAAGAATAAAGTCGTTTCATTTCCTTAATATTCTCTCCGAGTTGTTCCATCATTTTTCTTAATCCAGCAAGCTTTTCCGATATAATCTCTTCTTCAGATCCTGTAGAAGCCATTTTTACTTTATGATAGATAAGGTAGAAGAAAACTATATGTGCTTGATAGAGTTGAAGAGCTTTTGTGCATCTATATACTGGGGAATAACTTATGCGTGCAGTATTGATATAAATAAGATATGAGTCACAAGAATTAGTTGTCCAAAAAAAAAAAAAGTCACAAGAATTAAAGTTTTACATAAATGTATATGGATTTTTTTTTTGTTCAATAGATTATTTTTATACAATACAGTATTTCCCATTTACACAAAAACAATATTGGATAACCGAAATATTTTTATTTCTTTTGGGGTACAAAACCATTAAATATATTTTTTTTAACACAAAACGTAAGACTTGTAGTATAGTCAAGTGATTGAGTTAAATAATTGGTTGAATAACTTCGAAATATAAGTTCCTAATATAAGTCCCAAATCCAACCACATCCAAAATCTTACCTTCTCGACTTCTCTCCACCACTTTCCTATATAAACATGCATCGTCCTTCATGCATTTTCTCGCTCATCTCCATCTCTCTGTTTATTCTTTTAAAAATTTCCTCACTTTCCACCATTGAATTCCCTAGAATCTTCCCACGAAAATTCTCATTTTACTTTCTTTCCTGAATTTACTTCTGAAAAATTCAGCAACTTCATGTTTGTATAAACAATTATAAACAAATCCGTTTGTTTGTGAATCTCACTTTAGATAGATTACTAATTAGTAGATCAAGTCATAATCGTATTTTAACCTGATTTAGAACTTTAACCACTAAAATTTCATTGTACTTTTTTGATATCTTCCAACATTTCCGAACAGTTGCTGTAGTCAAACCATTGACCTTAACGTTGATGTATCTACTTAACAAGGACACCACATTATATTAATGTACTATGGAACTTTCTCCCGTGACTTGTCTTATAGTCATCTTCCTAATATCCCAATATATCTGGTTCTCGTATATGGAAATGCTTAATATAGTTGATTTTGCTATTACGTCACCAAAATACAAGGAACTTATGTTTGCTCTTTCAAGTTGGATTAACCTTCTAACATTTTCACCAATATTTTTTTTTCGTGGATTACTTTCAACTATAGTTAATTTTAAAAATGGTAAAAAAATGTTTAAAACTTTTTAATTTTCACTATGGGACTAACTTCATAGAAAGACATATTACGTCATGAGGTAAACAAGTGTGTATTTGTTGTAAAAAGGATAAGTATTTATGAAAAAGGAATAAACATGTTTACAAATTGATAACAATGTGGCATTGTGGCTGAGGAGGCACACAATTCATAATATTGAATATTACCAATGGAATTTGTCGTCCAAGTGTAACAAAACATCATACATTACTTAACACTCATGCTTTTTGTTCAAATCTGTCAAGTATGATGAATAGGCAAATAAACTATATTTGAAGGAAATTTCTAAGGTAACAAATAACATATGTCACTGATTAATATGTTCTTGTCAAGTATATAGTTGTACATCAACTGAATTACCTGTGAGCAAGTGACATATGTATATATATTATTTCTTATTACTCGTATGTTTACGTGATAAGAGACATTCAAAGTTTCAAATTAGACCTACTTAGTCAGATGATTAAATTTAAATACAGTTGTGAATATTCTATAATCTATTTTTATGGTTATTAAGAAATAAAGCATGTAATTTCTTTGTTTTCATTTATAATCCTCCTAGCTACTTCAATGATATTATTTTACAATCCACTTTGCACCTATAAATACTAATCTCACTCATGTTACCCTTTCATATCTCGAATTTAATTTTGCACATTTTTCTTTGTTCTCTAAACCTCCATAAACATTTTACAACTTTCATCAAACGAAGACAAACAAATTAAACACCGATCACAACTTTTTTCCATAGATCTTTATCTATATGAGCTGCCGGACTATTTACGACATCCTCATCCTCGAGAGGTATGAATTATACTGCAAATTCTAAATCTATTTTTATGTGCAAATCTTTGGATTCATAATATAGTCATTTGCATATCAGTATTCACCACCAAATATATTTATGTGTTTATAAGATATTTTAAAAATTTATATTAGGAATAGAAATAATAATTTTGGATAACGCAAACGTAAAAGGTTTTTGTTTTTATGGGGTACAAAACCGTTAAATATTTATTTTTACACAAACCCTGAAATAATGTCTACATACATTTATTCTGTAGACTACTGTCGTACTGGAGTAGTAAAAGTTTGGAGAATGAATTGTTAAAATACGGCCTAAGCCCAAATCCAACCACACCCAAATCTCATCTCCTCCCACCACTTGCCTATATAAAGACGTATTGTGCTTCATGCATTTCTCGCTCATCTCAATTTCTCTGTTTTAAGCCGCTTTATTCTTTGAAAACTTTCCTCATTCTCCTCCACTAAAATCCCTGAAATTTTCCCGAGAAAAGTATAAAATTCAGCATCTACATATTAAGGGAATCTTTCAGGAATCGTTTTGTTGCCAATTTCAGATTTGGAAACCTCTTTTTTTCTGTTTCAACAAACAAACAAAAAATTTAAGCTTCTCCTAAAACATTCATCGTGGAGAGTTTCGGGTCGGGTCGGGTCGGGTTGTTAAAGGCGGGTTTCACGGCGGTGACAGATTCACCTTCTGCTTCTTTTGAGGGGGTTAGCCCCGAGGCTCTTGCCTCGGCGGGTTTCAAAATCCCCCATCTTCACCAAATCTGGAAACTAACAAAAAAATTACAGATTCAATTTTCTCCTCTTTTTTTTGGTTAAAAATTGATTCACCAATTTTGTTTACGAAAAATTCGTTTATTTTATTTGAATTGTGATCGTCACTGAAGGAACCAGAGGATGCCTGCTCTAGCTATTGTTGATACTCCCGTCGTCGATGTCTTTCCCGACACATTCATTCCGGCGTCGCCAATTTCCGCCACTGCTGTTGACGGCTCCTGCCATTGGTCTACGTCGCTCTCCACTGAGCTTTACCGAATCGACGATTGGGGAGCTCCGTATTTTACCGCGAACTCCTCCGGCAACATCTCCGTTCGTCCTCACGGCTCAAACACGTTGTCTCACCAGGATATCGATCTGATGAAGGTGGTTAAGGAGGTGACGGATCCGAAATCCTCCGGTGGTCTCGGTTTGCAGCTTCCTCTCATCATCCGGTTCCCTGACGTTCTGAAGAATCGGCTGAAGTGTCTTCAATCGGCGTTTGATTTGGCGATCGTTAATAAAAGCTACGATTCCCATTACCAAGGTGTGTATCCGGTGAAATGTAACCAGGATCGATCCATCGTCGAGGATATCGTCGAATTCGGATTGAAATCTCGGTTTGGATTGGAAGCTGGTTCGAAGCCTGAGATCCTTCTCGCTATGAGCTGTTTATGCAGAGGTAACCGTGAAGCCTTTCTCGTCTGCAATGGCTTCAAAGACGCCGAGTATATCTCATTGGCTCTGCTTGGGAAGAAACTTGAATTGAACACTGTGATTGTTCTTGAGCAAGAAGAAGAGCTTGATTTGGTTATCAAATTGAGCAAGAAGATGAACGTGAGGCCTGTGATTGGGTTACGAGCCAAGCTGAGAACGAAGCATTCAGGTCATTTCGGCTCTACTTCCGGTGAGAAAGGCAAGTTTGGATTGACCGCGATCCAGATCGTTCGTGTGGTTCGTAAGCTTGACCAATTCGGTATGCTCGATTGTCTCGAGCTCCTTCATTTCCACATCGGTTCGCAGATTCCTTCAACGACTTTGCTCTCCGACGGTGTCACTGAGGCTGCGCAGCTTTACTGTGAGCTTTTCCGTCTCGGTGCTAGTGAAATGAAAATTATTGACATCGGTGGTGGGTTAGGGATTGATTACGACGGGTCTAAATCTGGTGAGTCGGATCTCTCTGTTTCCTACAGTCTCGAGGAGTATGCTGCAGCGGTTGTGGAGTCCGTTATGCTTGTTTGTGATCAGAAATCTGTGAAGCATCCGGTGATATGCAGCGAGAGTGGTAGAGCCATCATCTCTCATCACTCTGTTTTGATCTTTGAAGCTGTCTCAGCTAATCAACAGCATGAAACCCCAAGCGATATTGAGTTCTTGCTTGACGATTACTCAGAGGAAGCTCGAGGTGATTACGAGAAGCTTTATGCTGCTGCGAAGCATGGTGATCACGAAAGCTGCTTGCTTTATGTTGATCAGCTGAAACAGAGATGTGTGCAAGAGTTTAAACAAGGTTCTTTGAGCATTGACCAGTTGGCTGGTGTTGATGGGTTATGCGGGTGGGTGGTTAAGGCGATTGGTGGATCGGATCCGGTTCTTACTTACAATGTCAATCTGTCTGTTTTCACTTCGATTCCTGATTTCTGGGGGATTGATCAGTTGTTTCCTATAGTTCCGATCCATAGGCTTGACCAGAGGCCTGTGGCGAGAGGGATCTTGTATGATTTGACTTGTGACAGCGATGGAAAGATCGATAAGTTCATAGGCGGAGAGTCGAGCTTGCCACTGCACGAACTGGACAACGAAGGGAGATACTATTTGGGAATGTTTCTAGGCGGGGCTTATGAGGAGGCTCTAGGTGGACTCCACAATTTGTTCGGTGGACCAAGCGTGGTTCGTGTTTTGCAGACTGATGGACCGCTTGGATTCGAAGTGGACCGTGCTGTGATGGGCCAATCCTCTGCGGATGTTCTTAGAGCGATGCAGCACGAGCCTGAGCTCATGATTCAGACGCTTAGAGACCGAGCCGAAGAGGCTGGTGGTGGTGATGAGGAAAATGGGGCACTAGTTGCATCATGTCTTGATCATTCATTCAACAACATGCCTTATCTTAACAAGGAAATGTCTGAGTAACCTCGGCGATTACTACCGCGATGAAGCAGCGGCTGATGATGGTGGTGGCGGAAAGGATGGGATTGGTTTTATTTCGGTGGATTGAGAGAGACTTGACAACTTCACCGTGCGATCATAATTCCTTATTTGTCTTTGTATTTTCACAGTTTGTAAATTTAAATTTAAAGTGGTTTCTTTGTAATAATGATGGGGAGATTTGTGAATATACCCCCAAAAGAGAGAACTATTGTCCCCTTACACTTTTTTTGAAATTTATCAAATCTGGACTCTAATACCCTTACATATGCTAGAAATATGATATAAATATATTTAAAAGTTTTAAAAAATTAAATAAATTAAGTAAAATGATTCTAAGGTTTAGAGAATATTTTCACAATTTGTTTTTGAAATTTGAACCTCAGAAAAATAAATAAAATTTGCATCTACCAAATTCATTATTCAAAGTAGAATTTGTCTTCTACTAGAGACTCTCACATCTATCCCTCGTAGAACATAAAATCTACCAACTGTTCAGCCATCTACCATCGTAGAATTTGCTTTCTACTAAATACTCTATACTCTACGAGTTGGTAGAGTTGTAGAACATTTGTTCTACGTTGTATACGGTTTTCTACCGTTGGTAGAACCTATATTCTAACCTACACATTGTTTTCTACCATCTCTAGAATCTATATTCTATCATAAACAATTTCTTCCACTATTTGGAGAATTCGTGTTCTACACAAAATACTATCTTCTACTATTTGTAGACTTTGTGTTCTCCTGAAAACAATGTCTTCTACTGTTTGTAGAAACTATAATCTACATTAAACACATTTTTCTACGAAATGATAGAATTCAACTTCTACGAGAATCTAAAAAATATAGTAAAAATGGTAACTAAATATTAGAAAATATCTTCAAAAACTATATTTCCTTAATCTACTTTGCCAGAAGAAAAAAAAGAATTCTCATCACGTTCTTCTTCTTCTTTTTTGCTTTTTCTTATCATTTATATAATTTTCTTTTAGATTATTTGTTTTAATCTATTTTTCTCAGGTTATTCTGTTGCATATCTATATAACATATGGAGACTGAGTGCAATCAAATGGTGGAATTTCGTTGTTGGTGAGGCAAAAGGAACTAGATTACTTGCTTTGAAATATATTTTTCTTTTCTTAAATAATTAATTATTTATTTGTTTATTACACTAATCATTTAATTTCATTTATTAATTATTTATTTATTTGAAAAAATCATGAAAACGTAATTTGAGGGTTAAAATTGGATTTAAAATTTAATTAAGGGTAAGTGGACAAGATTTGGCAAAAAAAGAGTAGATGGACAACTCTTCTCTTTTTCTGGAGTATTTTGCCAAATTTCCTATAATGATAAGGCAAACTCTTAGAAAATTTTAGTTGATTATTGACCATGTTAATAAGCTTTCAATAGTCATTTTGTGAAGTCTGTTTTCCGAATATTTAAAGTAACCTTTTCTTAATATGCATTTGGATTGGACCATTTGAAGAGTATTTTGAATAAAACAAAAGTTATTCTATGTAAAGAGACAAGACAATGTAGAGTTAACGGACGTGCGATCAAGAGAATAAGCAAAGGATGTGGTCGTTATTAGCCGTAAAGCGTGATGATACCACACCACATACACACATGACACAAATTGTTCTGACTGTATTCTAAGTTTTGGAATTCTTATTTTGTGGCTCTTCTAAGACTGTGTTTTGGTGATGGCAATTTTGGATCTTATATAAAAAAAAGAGGCATATTTTAGTCTTGAAACTAACCCTTTAAAGGTTCGTAGTTAATGGTGTAATCATGGACTACATTTCCATGTGCACATCTATTTGGCTTGTCATAGTAAACATTGGCCATTTTATTTTATTTTTGCCATATGATCTACAAGGTGGAATACAAGGTATGATTCACAAAGACTGGCGGAACAACTTGAAATTCTCGGAGTCAATCAGGCCAAACAAGAAAAATCAAATAACAACGAAAACTGAAGACATAACAAGACGAAAGCAAACCCAAAGGAAAGGCATGATGTTTTTAATTAGTTTCGTATCTTAATTATGAGGCCATTTAAAAATGTTACGATACACTGATTGAAACATTTACAACCAATGATAATTTGTCTCTAGAATCTTATTTTAGTAAACACAACTTTGTTTCATGTATGAACCACCTATGTCTTGAGATCTGAACGTTTGTGTAGTATCAGAAAACGACCCGTCGACCACAACAGTCCCTTCTCATTTAAAGAAATGATTGGACTATGGTTTCTTCTTTAAAACTTTACACAAAGTACAATTATAGATTCTCAAGAGTCTGAGACAATTACAATCTTATGAGAATCGATTGAAAAAAAAAAAAATTACAACTAGAATGGAAGAAGAATTATTTCTCTAACATGTAAGAAATGAAACAAGAGAAATAGTCTAGATTTTGTCAAATTGTTTTCATTAATGATGTGATGTATAAATAATTTATCAGGTAGAATCAGATGGAAACATATTTCAAATAGTAATTAACGATCCATTTGAAAATTGTTTTTATATAAAGAGAATAAAAAAAAAAACATTTATAAATAAAGAATTCTGAATTTCATGGATGGAAGAATCGAACCATGGACGCTATGTGCACACTAGCTAATCAAACCGACCGGGCTATAGGAAATTTCAATATTTTTTTGGTTTAAAATAAATCTTGAAGGAAATTAAGGGGTAAACGAGAATCAATTTTCTCTCTTAAAAACTTACAGCATGTCCAGCGCTGAGATGAAGAGAGTATCAGAATATTAAAAATAAATAAAAATAATAGTAAAAAAAGAGAGAGAAATAATAAATGTCTCATGAGTCTCTTGGGAGAGAGACGTATTAGTTTATTTTAGAGACTTTCATAAGACGTGTTCTTTTCTAATTGGTTTACTTTCTTTTATAATTAAAATTTGATTATATTATTAAATTATATTAATATATTATGTATTAGAGACTTTTGAGAGAGAGATTACCGCTGGACATGCTCTTAAGACCACACGAGCCATTGTTCCTCGTAGTCGTAAGTAGGCTTTCGCAGCCGGTAAAGCGCATGAAGGGATCTTCAAACTTTTACTTTCTCTCTAAATTTTTCTCAGTCTCTCCTCTTTCTCTCTCTCTAATCTGGTAAGCTTTTCGCCATTGCTGTTCGTCTTCTTATTCTTCCTTCTTCTCCTCTCCGTTGCTTAGTTTTAGAGCTTTAAATTCAACAACTACTTCTTTCGTTGTATGTTCGAGGAGCCTATCACCAAATTCGCCTGTGTTTTATCGATTTGTTGTTCATTTCGATTGAATTTGAGTTTCTGGGATTGAAAAGTGAAGATGATTATAGGATTCGTGGTGATACTCTGATCTAGGGTTTGGGGAGCCTATCACCAAATTCGCCTGTGTTTTTATCGATTTGTTATTCATTTCCATTGAATTTTAGTTTCTGCGATTGAAAAGTGAAGATGATTATAGGATTAGGGTTTTTTTTTTTTTTTTTTTTTAAAGCTGCTCGGCTTTTTTGTTCTGTTTTGGTTGTTGGAATTGTATATTGAAAGTGAAATGATTTTGTTTTGTGATTGCAGTGGCTCGTGGTTTCCGATTTGGCTTTGTTTATGATTTTGGGGGTTTTGTTGTAGCTGCGGTGATCTAGAAAATGGGAGACGGAACTGAGGTTGGGGTTAGGCCACATGTGGAAGAAAAGAAGAAGCTTGCAGATGATAGAATTAGCGATGAGAAAGTAGAGAAGAATGAGTTTTTGGGATCTGATGAAGCGAGGGATAACAAAGATGAGGTCTTTGAGGAAGCAACTGGTTCACAGAATGATGAGCAAGAGGATTTACATGTAGAGGAAGCTCCAGAAAGTTCCAAAGATGAGCAAGATGAAGTTGAGGATTTTGAAGAGGCTGTTGGTGATTTGGATGAAACAAGGAGCAACGAAGGAGGAGTAAAAGAAGATTTTAAGGTTGATTATCCGGTTAACGTGGATCAGGAAACTGCGGGAGAGGGTGAAACTGATTCTGTGACTCCTCAAATGAATGGTGTTAATGGAGAAGCAGGTGCGGAAAATTCTTATGGTCAGATTGAATCAAGCTCGGATGTTGTTGAGAACACTGACAAGGCTAATGCTAGTGGTTCCGTTTTAGCTGCTGAAGATGTGAATATGGAAGATGGAAATGGTCATTCTTTTTCGGAGAATGGAATTGTCTCTCCTGAGAATGAAGAACAGGTGGGTGATGCTATCTCAAAAACTGTTGAGCCTGAGGAATTTGGGAATGATGGCATTGAAGTTGATAATTCGGAGGAAAGAGTTGATGCGTCATCTGGCATACAAACAGAACAGGAGGTTGAGGAAGGTGAAGAAACAAATAAGAATCTCTCCGAGAAGGGTTTGGTACCTCTAGACAATGAGTCTGAAACGAAAACAAATGGTGGGACTGGTGCGGACTCCAGAAGTAATATTGTTGATGCTTCAGGTGAAAATTCCTTGGATGATAGAATTGAATTGGCTGAAGTGTCTGAAGAAACAGAGACAATGATCGGAGATGAGAAGCAGGAAAAAGATGATGACATGACTCATTTGGTGGAGGATGTGGAGACCCATGGAGACTCTTCAATAGCTGTTGTTGAGGAAGGGAAGGATCATGAAGAGATGGGAATGAAAGAAATGACAGAAACACAGGACGAGACTGTTATGAATAATGCTTCAGGTGAAAATTCCTTGGATGATAGAATTGAATTGGCTGAAGTGTCTGAACAAACAGAGACAATGGTCGGAGATGAGGAGCAGGAAAAAGATGATGACATTACTGATTTGGAGGAAACCCGAGAACTATCTGAGGAACTGACTAAAGTAGAGGAAACAAAGATTACTGAAACAGAGACAATGATCGGAGATGAGGAGCAGGAAAAAGATGATGGCATGACTGATTTGGCGGAGGATGTGGAAACCCATGGAGACTCTTCAACAGCTGTTGTTGAGGAAGGGAAGGATCATGAAGAGATGGGAATGAAAGAAATGACAGAGACACAGGAGGAGACTGTTATGAATAAAGTAGACGAAACCAAAGTTGCTGAAATGTCAGAAGAGACCGAGACAAGGACCGAAGATGAGGATGAGGTCCATGAGGAGAATGATGAAGACATGACTGATGTGGCGGAGGATGTGGAAACGCGTGGAGACTCCTCAGTAGCGGATATTGAGGAGGGGAGTGAAAATAATGAAGAGATGGAAGTGACTGATCTAACAGAGACACAAGAGGAGAGTGTTGCTGGAACGGGTGATGACGAGCCAGAGGAAGATGAAGAAAAAACTAAGACTGCTGGAGGAAAGAGGAAGCGGGAGAAAAATGCGAAAACAGTGAAAGGGACGGGAAAGAAGAAAGAGGAAGATGTTTGTTTCATGTGCTTTGATGGGGGTGACCTTGTCCTTTGTGACCGCAGGTGAACTTTCATCTGTAGTTTCTCTGAAATTACAGCTGGACTTTCTCCTTCTTTCTTCTTGTCCCTTTATCAAATGATAATTTTTGTTGTTTTAAAATGTATGATTCTCTTGGCTTGCAGGGGATGCCCAAAAGCTTACCACCCTTCCTGTGTAGGTCATGATGAGGCTTTCTTCCGTTCAAAGGGTAAATGGAACTGTGGTAAGTCTTTTTGTCTGTTATTCATTCAGTAGGTCTCTGCTTTGAACTGTAGTTTGCTAAGAACATATTTTCTTCCAGTGATAATATTATTGACCACATATATTTATAGTGTCTTTAACAATGTTACTTCCTTAGAATCATCACGGCATAGTGTCTTTAACAATGTTACTTCCAGTGATGAATTCTTTCCACTGATTTGTAGATGATTATTGTATTTACCAAATAATGATAAAATTACACACGCTAATGAGATGTAGAGCCCAATCAACACTGTACAGCCTCTTTGTATGCTACTGTCCCGCATATATTAGAACACATCATCGTATAAAACTTTCTAAAACGTACATAGTTTTAATGATTCATTCTGCATTCTGCTTTTTATACCAATTTATGTGCATGGTCATACTTTCCGTTTGTTATCTCTCTCTCTGTATGTATGTATTCTGCAAGCTTTTATCTTTGAAGGTCTATTCCCATGTCTTTCTAAAAGAACCTAACATTATGTTGCCTTTTCATGAATAGGATGGCACCAGTGTAGCAAATGTGAGAAACCTGCAACGTACTTGTGTTATACATGTATGTTTTCCTTATGCAAAGGCTGCGCCAAGGATGCTGCCTTCTTTTGCTTAAGAGGCAATAAAGGTTTGTGTGAGACATGCATGGGGACAGTCAAGTTGATAGAAAGAAAGGAGCAGGAAAAGAAGGAGCCGGTATGCCTCGCAAACTCTTGTAGTTTTATCTTAACATAATAAACTGATTGCAGTACCTCATGATCTTACCTATCCTGTTTCTCTAATCAAACATTTTGTGGACTAAACGTCTGATGATCAGCTTTCTATGGAATCTGTTTGCTCGTGTACCATTGCTCTATAGCATGATCCACATGTTTATGAGTTTTCAACCTGGTTGATGCGTGTTAACTTTACAGTTCTTTCTTTTTACTATGTAATGTTATACACTATGACTTAGATCAGCAGTGTCTCACACTGAATAGCTGATTTTATACCTTAGTTTCCACTTGTTATTTGAAAGGCAGTCTTCTTTTGCTGATCTCTCTCTCTTACCGCGTTTTGTCTCTTACAGGCGCAGTTGGATTTTGATGACAAGACCAGCTGGGAATATCTCTTCAAGGATTACTGGATTGATTTGAAAACCCAGCTATCTTTAACTCCAGAGGAACTTGATCAGGCTAAGAGCCCACAGAAAGGAATTGAGTCCCATGCTGGTAAACAGGGAGCAGCTAGGGAGACGGACTATGGTACTGATGGAGGATCAGATTCAGATAGTTCTCCAAAAAAGAGGAAGACCAGGAGTCGATCCAAGTCTGGTTCTGCTGTGAAATCCCTATCACCAGCCAATAAAAGCTCGTCAGGTGAAATTGTGGAGTGGGCTTCCAAGGAGCTTTTGGATGTGGTTGGGCACATGAGACGTGGTGACAGATCTTTCTTACCTCACTCAGAAGTACATGTGCTCCTGCTGGATTATATAAAAAGATATAATCTTCGTGATCCCCGTCGTAAAAGCCAGGTTCTTTGCGACTCCAGGCTTCAGAATTTGTTCGGAAAATCACATGTTGGGCACTTTGAGATGTTAAATCTCCTCGATGCCCATTTTCTTAAAAAGGAGCAACAACAGGCAGATGATATTCAAGGTAGCATTGTTGATACAGAACCTGATGATGTGGATGTCGATGAAAACTTGGACCATCCAGTGAAAAGTGGGAAGGATAAGAAACGTAAAGCACGTAAAAAGGGTGCCAGGAAAGGGCGTCAATCTAATCTTGATGATTTTGCTGCTGTTGATATGCACAACATTAATTTGATATACTTAAGGCGGAGCTTGGTGGAAGATCTACTTGAAGATTCTACAGCATTTGAAGAAAAAGTAGCTAGTGCATTTGTTAGGCTAAGGATATCTGGGAATCAAAAGCAAGATTTATATCGACTGGTTCAAGTTGTTGGTATGTTTCGTTTCTTTCTTGCAGATTTCTGAGTATGGTTAATGCAAAGGTTGACTAAGATCTCTTTTGTTTTGAAAACACAGGCACAAGCAAAGCACCCGAGCCCTATAAAGTTGGCAAAAAAACAACAGACTTTGTACTTGAGATATTGAACTTGGACAAAACAGAAGTGATAAACATCGACATTATATCAAATCAAGATTTCACCGAGGTGACACACTCCTCCTTTTACTATTATTGGAAATGGGACAACGTGTCCTGATTTTTTGGTCCCTACATAGTATTTTCTGTTGCACTTGCATATGTTGACAAGCCAAGGAGGCAGTGGTTGCGGTTTTTCACTCTTTTCTGAGCGAACTTCTTCTGATTATTGCATAATTGTTGTTCAAGAATGCTATATGTTTAACCTATAATAACCATGAAATAATTTCAGGATGAATGCAAGCGGCTAAAGCAGAGTATAAAATGTGGATTAATCAACAGGCTGACAGTGGTATGCCTCATGTTACTTGAAATATTGCATTTTGATTATCTCTTAAATTCTTTCGAGCATGGTGCTCTGTCTTTCTATGTATTCTAATGTCAATTGTTGTTAGGGTGATATACAAGAAAAGGCCATTGCGCTGCAGGAAGTGAGAGTCAAAAACGTAAGTTGCTTTTTCCCCGTCTCTAATTCTCCTTTTGATTGTTATTATATGCTGGTTTATGTGATGTGCATGTTTCTAGTTCTATATCTCTCTTAGGTTCTGGGATCTTATGTTTCTTAATAATGCATAGCTATCACACGATTGTAGTTCAGATATGTATGTACAATCCTATGACTGCTCCAGTTTTGAAATTTATTACTTTATATGATGCAGTTGCTGGATGCAGAGATCCTTCGTGTTGGTCATTTGCGTGATCGAGCTAGTGACATGGGCCGCAGAAAAGAATATCCTTACCTGTTGAAACTTATGAGTTTTTTTTTTGGGTCAAAATGATGATTGCTCATGCTCTTCGAATACTACTCTCTGTGTATTGCTTTTGCAACTTCATTATAATTCATTCTTTTTTTTTATTCACTTACATAAGTATTCCTTAACCTATGGTTACGCTGCGAGAATGTGTTGAAAAATTGCAACTGCTGAAGTCTCCAGAGGAACGACAGCGCAGGCTAGAGGAAATTCCAGAAATACATGCTGATCCCAAAATGGATCCAGATTGTGAGTCGGAAGATGAAGATGAAAAAGAAGAAAAAGAAAAAGGTTACAAGTTCTTTTGTTTTCAGTTAAACTTGAATCTCAAGTTCGTTGGATCTATTGTTTGGCATTGTCTTTTCTAACGTTTTTGATGTCTGGTGGTTTTGATGTATCTAGAGAGAAATCTGAGGCCGCGAAGTAGTAGCTTCAACAGAAGAGGAAGAGACCCGATTTCTCCAAGAAAGGGAGGGTTTAGTTCTAATGACTCATGGACTGGCACAAGTAACTACTCAAACGCAAGTGCAAATCGTGAATTGACCAGAAGTTATTCTGCTAGAGGCTCTACTGGCAGAGGGGATTATTTTGGTAGTTCTGAAGACAAGGTTAGTGAGAGCATGTGGTCTTCAGGTAGAGAAAGAGAAATTCAACCATCTTTAGCCTCGGAGAAGCCGAGATCTATTACTCTTCCTGAGCCTCCTCCCAGAAGTTCTCGTGCTGTTGCGCCACCGGAATTGTCTCCTAGGATTGCCCCCGAAATTTCAACGGCGCCTCCTGCTGCTGTTCCCCAGCCTGCTCCCAAGTCAAATGACTCAGAGAAAATATGGCATTACAAGGACCCATCTGGTAAAGTTCAAGGACCGTTTTCGATGGCCCAGCTCCGTAAATGGAACAATACTGGATACTTCCCTGCTAAGTTGGAAATCTGGAAAGCTAATGAGTCACCGTTGGACTCTATTCTCCTAACTGATGCATTGGCTGGACTATTTCAGAAGCAACCCCAGGTTCAGGTGGCAGCTTATCCTGCTCCATCAAGCCAATCTGATACGGTTAGGACCGCTCCATCAATCATTGATATTCCCAGGAATTCCCAGGATAATTGGAGTTCAGGCGGTAGCCTTCCTTCGCCTACTCCGAATCAAATCACAACTCCAACCGCAAAAAGGCGAAATTTCGAGAGCAGGTGGTCTCCAACTAAGCCATCTGCACAGTCGATGAACTTTTCTTCAGCACAGTCTGGCCCGAGTCAAGCTGCTAGAACAGATATCCCTGTGGTTGTAAACTCTGCTGTTGCACTACATCCCGGAGGCCACTCTATTCCAACACCAGATTCGACCAACGTTGCTGTTAATCACTACGGCTCTGCTGCTCCTCTTCCATCTCCAACACCAGCAAGCGGAAACCAAAGCTGGGGGAGCATGCAGACAGATAAATTTGATTCCCATGGTCGTGGAGGAGGCGATGCTCCCTCTATATCTCAGAACAGCTCCGCGTCTTATGGCATCGCAGCTCCAAATGTTCTCCCTTCGCAAAGTCAACAAGGCTTTCCCTCAGCTGATTCATGGAGGGTTCCAGCTCCAAGCCAATCGAATATTCAGGCTCAGCCACCGGCTAATAACTTACAATGGGGTATGAACACAGTGAACAACACCCAAGTCTCAGGACAACAACCTCAGTCTCAACCAAACCCGAACAGCAGCTGGGGTACTCAAGGGACTGTAAACCCAAACATGGGATGGGCTGGTCCTGCTCAACCTGGAATGAATGTTAACTGGGCTGCTCCATCTTCTGTTCCCCAAACTGGTCAGGGAATGCCTAATCCTGGTTGGGGAGGGCCTGTCCAAGGACAACCACAAGCTTATCCAAACACCGGATGGGGTGTAACAGGCCAAGCTCAAGTTCAAGTTCAAGCTCAACCCGAAGTTCAAGCTCCAGCGAGTAGTATGGGCTCGGGATGGATGCAACCAGGTCAAGGGATGCAGTCAGGGAACAGTAATCAAAACTGGGGAACTCAGAATCAGATGGCGATCCCAAGCGGGGGATCAGGAGGGAACCAAGCCGGTTACTGGGGAAACCAACAACAGAATCAGAATGGAGATTCTGGGCATGGTTGGAACAGGCAGTCAAGTGGTGGAAATGGTGGGCAGAACAACTTCAAAGGGCAAAGAGTTTGCAAGTTCTATCGAGAAACTGGAAATTGTAGGAAAGGAGCTTCCTGCAATTACCTTCACAACTAAAGCAGCTTCTCTCTCTCTCTCTCGCTCTCTCTCTCTCTGCTTTTGAGTAATGTGTTTTGCATCCTAAAAAGCAGCTCTCATAGGCGTTTTAGCCATTTGCTTTTATGCACAATAGTCTTCTGTTGGGACCTTTTCACTCAGAATTAGCCTAACCTGTTTTCTTTTATTTTTGGGGGTTTAGGGTTTTAGTAGTATTTAAATGTTTGTGGTGGTGAATGGTGGATAGAGAGAGTATATTCTCTTGCATATAATATTTGCTAGGCCAACTATATATGTTTGTATCCTGAAATAAATTTTAAGGAGTCTTGGTCTGAGACCATTTAATAATTTATTATTCACCCATACTTGTTTCATCATAACACCCATACTTGTTTCATCATTAACATACCTAATATATATATAAAATTCTCCTAAAGTATGACCCTGAGCTGAGTCATTTTCACCATAGATGGATACTTCCATATTGTAAGCAGATTCTGCGTACACCCATGTGACCTAAGCAAAACTTGAGAACCGGTGTGGCGGTGTCGCCATAGATCGATCCCATATGTGTACCACATTTTCGTTGCCACCACTATCTAGTTGCTGACCACTCCAGCCCAGAGACAAACTGAGTTGCCCTATACAAATAGTTATGATTTAACGTAGTTTTACAATTGAGGCGTGTGTACAAGAAAAACAAAAAGGAAAAAGAATAACTTGTAGGGCAAGTAAGTAAATACGTTGCGTTTTTAGGTGTTAGAAAACAAAGGATAAAGGTCTAGGTCTACCTTATCTCCGATTCCTGAATCCCAACCTCGGTCTCCGATCTAGCCTGGTTTCGAAAACCTTTAGATTTTCACTTTTACGGTAACCTCACGACAAGAAGGCAGAAACCTCCAAGCTACTCCAAGCTTCACAAGACAATAATTTACGTGTGAACGATGACGTTGTCCAAACGCCTGGCTCTGTTAGGGGTTCGGTCTGCGGTTTCCACCTCTAGATCTCGAGGTGTGGGCTCCTCTTACGCCCTTATGGATCGTCGTCCATTCCCGTACCGCCAAATTTCTACTTTCACTAATCATTCAAAGAATTCTGAGGTAAGATTCAAATCACTATCTTATTTTTGAAAAAAAAACAGAAATACAACTTTTCGTGCTGCGTTTCATAATCTCACACTCCCATACTTTTCTCCTGGCTGCAGATGGAAACTCTTGAAGACGACTCTTCTCCACAACTTATCAAATCTATTGAAACTGAGGTAAAATTGCGTTTATTTTGGGTTTTTCATTAGAAAACCTTCCGAGTTTTTGCTGCTTGTTTTACAGTGTTGACTAGGTTTACTGCGACATTATATGTGATTCAATTAGTTCATACTTGTCTTTTCTTTTATTTTTCTTTTAGCTAAGGAATGCTTTTTCTTCTTCTCATTACAGAATATTCTTCGTAACTTGGTAGAAAAAAATCGAGCCGTGGTGGAGAAGATGCGAACCGAGCAAGCCAAGGCCGGCTATATTTATAGTCCTCCAACTCGCATACTCCATAGTTATTATACAAATCCGTTAAGTTGTGAGGTAACATACAACGTGTGCCTTGATGTGCAAAACTTCATTTAAAGAAATAGATATATTCTCTGACTTAGGTGACAATGTTGTTGATATAGTTTTTAAAACCTTGCGAGTTGTGCTGCGTTTTTTATCTTCTCAAACACCATTGTCCCTGTTACAATGTTGTTTTGGGATTACATTTATTTTACCTGATTTTCTAAGACATTTAGGACCCTATTATCTTTTTTTTTCTCAGTTAAGGAATGCCTTTCTTCTCATTACAGATTTAGTTGTTTTTATACATCATCTTCTGTTTTTCCCTGACGCATCTTCAATTTACTGCCACTCTTCCCGATAAAATACAGTTTAAATCCAATATGTCGAAGCTGCATGTCCAGTGGGAGAAGAATAGGAAGCTGCTAGACGAGCTAGATGAGCTGAGGATGATGGAATCGGATCTACTTAGGTATGTAACCAGCTTTTTAATTCTATATGGTCACTACCTCATCGTCTTGTAGTAACTAAGACCTCTATCACTTGGAACAGTACTGGATCAAGAATTGCATTTGAAAAGGTATTTCTTTTTTCCTTTACTCATAAATTTCATTTCACACTTCTCCTTGAAACTTAGGAAGATCCAAAGGCATGTAACTTGCATGGTATCTAACTTTTTAGCCTTTCTTACGTACGTTTTGAAAACTGTGTTTTGGGTCGAGTACATACCCATTCACAAGCACAGAGAAAAAAAAAAGTGAAAATGAAAATCATAAGTTGTTTTCCAATATCTCACGTAAGTTTTCAATTAATAACTTTTTTAGACCAAAAAGAGAGTTATTCATCTAATAGATAATACTTTTTTTTTTGGCATTTCAAGTTTATTCAGTTTTGAGTTTTCTCGCCCTAATAATTCTGCTATTTTATTATTCAACTATCATTCCGTTACGTAATTCAGTTAATATACCAATCAAACCCATAATATGTTTTGGTGTTTCATCTTTATCAAAATAAAAAATTGTTTTGGTGTTTCAGAGAATGAAGGACTCCGTCAAAAACAACATTTTATCCCAGGTATATAATTTTTCCTTTACACAGTATTTCTTTTTTACACTGTTTAACTTGAAACTTAGGAAGATCCAAAGGCATGATACGTTTTGTCGTTTCAGGAGACTCGTAGGCTTACAGCTTCTACAAATACTGAATTCCACATAGTGGGCATAGCTACAGTTCTCATGATGCCAGTTTTCTTTTTCGTCTGCTTGTTTTTCCCTCCTTAATCTCTTCACCTTCAACTACAAGGTCCACAAGATCTTGGGAATTAACCGGCTCAATTTGATTAACAAATTTCCGTTCTCTTTTTTTTTTTTTTTTTTTTTGGTATGATTGAGAGAGAGAAAAACAAATTTCTTGTAGATGCAACTTCAGTCTATAACCATCAAGTTCGTTTCTCTTAAACCTTCCCTTACAAATTTCCATGAAAATATTCAGTTGAAAGTCATGATCAAAAGAAGTACGTTTATCGTATAAAGCTTTGTGAGTTTGCTTGTTCATACTTACATTTCAACCGTATAAAATCCCAAAACATAGTCAATATCTTAACTATCCTCATCCATTACTACAAAACACACAAAAAGAAAACAGAATTTTAGACAAATATAAAGCGATGATTTACTATATACTCTAAAAACTGAAACGGAATTAGAAGAAACCACAAGTAAAGAATGAAGTTTGGGTTCAAATTGTACCAAAAAAAACGTTTGGGTTAAAAAAAAGAAAGAAAAAAACTGTTTGGGTTATATATGTTACACCTCGGACAAGTACCTTCTAATGGGCTATGTGCACACCCGAAGCCCACTTAATATTTTCTTGAACTAAACCGGTCTGAACCGGAGTCGAACTTCAAACAAACGCTCCACGCTAATTGCAATCCCCAAACCAAAACCCTTGCTCGATAAATTCTCGATTTTCCGGTGAAAGAAATTCTCGATTCTCGATTTCCGGTGAAGATTCCCATCAGATCGATGAACTTGTCAAAGCGTCTGGCTCTTTCAGGAGCTCAATCCGCGTTTTCCATGGCTAGACCTCGAGGCTTCGGCTCCTCAATCGGCTTCATCGATCGTCGTCCTTTCCCTTACCGGCAAATTTCCGAGCTCACTGAAGCCAACGGCGAACGTGCTGTTATCGTCGACAAATTGGCGAAGGTAACGATTTATCTCTCTCATGTATAATCTAAGCTTGGATTTTGTAGAATCGATTAGTCTCGGAACCTCTTCAAATGCTTGTTAAACAAAATGATGAATTCGATGAAAGGTTATGGACGCCGGAAAAGCAGAAGCACTCGCCGGCGCCATCACCAATACTATCGAAATGGCCAAGGAGGATGTTAGAAGACATTGTGAGGTAAGCAGAAGAGATTTTGTAAGCTAGAGAAAAGAAAAATTTGTCAAATCAAATTGAACAAATTTCGTTTCTCTCTTTTGCTGCAGGAGAGTCATTCGGCTTTTGTTGCTAAAGAGTGTGCTAGACTGAGAGTGGAATTGGCTAAGTACCATGGAATGGTGAATGAGATGCTAGCTAAGCAGAGGTGTGAGGATGCTATCGCCATGAACGAGATTGAGAAGGTACAGAGCTTTTTCTTGCTCTTTGTAACTTTTTCAACTTGAGAACTTGGCAGAGAGATACGAACTCATTTGCGTTGGTTGCTGTTTCAGGACATTATCAGAAAGAAATTCGATCTTCACAAGGTGATTTTCTTCTTACGTTTGTTTAACACTATTTATGTAAAGATCAGAGATCAAGAGAACTAATACCATATGTTTTTGGGTACATTAGGAACTTTCACAGCTCAGAGTTCAGTACTATTCAGGAAAGCTTCAACTTCTGAAGTATGGGATGGTGTCATTTGGGTGCTTGGCAGCAATTGGAGTCATTGGTTTTGCTTGAAAGAGAGTATCAGCCTGAAGAGTTCTTGTTAGGAAAAGAGACGAAGCGAAGAAGATGGAAGAACCAAACTTTCTGTAACTCATCTTAATCATAATACAATGGTTCTCATGATAAAATCCCTTTTTTGTTTTGTTTGGTATGAATGATTGAGGGAGAAAAATATTTTTGTAAATGCAACTCTAATCTATAACCATCAAGTTCGTTTCTCCTATACCTCTCTTCCCTTAACATTTTCCTTGAAATTATGCAGTATTAACAGAAGAAAGTTGATTATCCTATAAAGCTTAGATTCTAAATCCAACCAGAATCATCGAAATCCTATCAAGTGCAGCAATATTAACTCTTTACAAACATCCGCAACAGTTTTCTCAAACAATCGCTAAACCGGTGAACCCGGTACGTGCTTGTGGTGGAGGTACTATTTAACCGGCTTAATTCGATTTGTCATTTGAACCGGAGTCAAATATGTTAGACCAAAAGGTCAACATTGTTTCAGATTTATTGCAAAAAATGAACTTTCCGTGCAAGCAAGTACCAATAAATAGAGAGATTGCTTTTTTGGTATTAAAAATCTGGGAAATGCGAAAGGGCAAATACGTAATTCAACTCCCAAAACCAATCAACGAGCGATCAAACCCCAGAAACACTTTCGTGAAGAAGTTCTCCACGCGCTCGATTCTCCGATACCAAATCCAAGTCTCCGATTAGATTAAGCCGTAGTTCCTTGCTTCTCCGATACATCAGTTTTCAATTATCCGGTGAAGAAACTTTTCCTTCTGATCGATGAACTTGTCAAAGCGTCTGGCTCTGTTAGGAGCTCAATCGGCGTTTTCAATAGCTAAACCTCGAGGTCTCGGCTCCTCCTACGGCTTCATCGATCGTCGTCCCTTCCCGTACCGGCAAATTTCCGAGCTCACTAAAGCCAATGGGAAGCGTGCTTTTCTCGTCGATACATTGGCGCTGGTAACTATCTATCTCTCATGTATCAGATCTAGAATTAGGCATGGATTTTGTAGAATCTATAAGTTTCGGAACCTCTTCAAATGCTAGTGAAATCCGCAGGTTTTTTGTTTGTAGTCTCTGTGATTTTACAAGTATGTTAAGTTGATATTGGAGCAAGCAACGAATCGAATCTGTGGAGTTTTTGGATTTTTGTATTGAGGAATTCTTGTTTATGTGAAAAGGTGAGGAGTCTTGAAGCTCAAGGTGTTCCATCTAAACAAGCTGAGGCGATAACTTCTGCAATCACTGAGGTGTTGAATGATAGCTTGGAAAATGTCTCCGAGTCTTTTGTTTCAAAGGCAGAAATGCAGAAGGTACGATCATTTCAATCACTGTTAATCTTGTGCTATTGCATTGGGACTTTTCTACGACCTTACTGTAGAAATGGTGTGAAACTCACCTTTTTTCTTGCTTGTGTGTTTCTGGCTTGCTGCAGATTGAAATGATTCAAGATTCAAATCTGTCAAAGTTTAAATCCGAAGTAAACAGTTCTCAGGTAAACATAATACATATTGTAGTTTTGGTTTTTGCATACAGTAGTGGTTATTTATCATTACTAGTGGTTTCAGAGCCTTGAAAATGTGTTAGCTGTTTTGTGGTTTATGTGCTAAAACTTGCTGATTTGTGCTGCGTTCTCTGATCTCAAAACACCATTGTCACAGTTACATTGTTGTTTAAGACTACAAAACTAGGCTGCTAATTAGTACATGCATGTATCTTGGTGTGTCGAGTTGAGTTGTATACCCCTTTTCTTATTGTCCTCAACTTATAAATGGTTTCTTCTGATTATTGCCAATTAGTTTGTTGTTGTTACTTTGAAAGTAGTAGCTCTGAAGTACGTTTTACGTTATATTGTGGATGAGCTATGATAACACGTGAGATGCTGCTTTTCTATGAGAAATTCTTAGTTACTGAGGACCTGTAAGTGTCTCTGTTTCAACTGTTTATGATTTCGAGTCCTGGGTCCCTTGTAGCTCGAAATACCAGTATCTTGCTTGTTCAAAATGCTTGATTGATTACTATGTTACTGTACTTTATCATATCATGGGCATGTTGCAATGGCATTCATGTATCATCAGCATCTACTGTGTATATCATTGCAACGTCTCTTCATTCTTTTTGAAGGAGCATCATTTTACTGTCTTGCAACGGGAAACAGAGAAACTACGAGGCGACATAGAGAAGATGCGAAGCGAGCTTAGGTTTGATTTTGATCCACGTTTTCAAAACGTATTGTAATTTGTTTTTAACTGAGCCTAAACCAATGACCTCTCTCAACTTGATTGAAATAGGTATGAAATTGACAAGGTCACAGCTGGACAACGCTTGGATTTGAATCTTGAAAGAGGGTATGGAAAAGCTCCACATTTCTTTCACATTACTCTCTTTCTACTTACCATTTGCTAGTAGAGGCTCACGGGTTTAATCTTGTTCTTCTTCTGTCATCTTATAGCCGAATACGTGATGAGCTAGCTAATCAGAATTCCGAAACAACAAACCTCACGAACAAGCTTGACAGGGTATGGTGACTGTTTTCCTTTTTACTCATATGGAAACTTCATTATACATTCTTCAGATCATAACATAAATAATATGCTGTGTTGTGTTCTTGTGTGTAGGAAATTCATGCACTGAGAGCTCAATTAGAAGGTTCGAAATACGAAGTGATCAAATACTGTATTGGTACGCTTGTCTCGATTTCAGCGGTCGGTCTTGCCCTTCTTCGCATCTTGGTATAGTAGGAGGATCCAACAACAATTCAACACCTTTATGCTTTTAGACTACATCGGTGTTAACTTCTCATTTTTACTTGAAATCCAAGGATGCCATATGCTGTCAGAAAATGGAGGGAAACAAAAAAAAACAATGTTATTGTTTATGATCATACTTTTACTAATCAACCAAGGATCTCATTGGTCTCTGTTAACAAAATTTTAACTGCTTATCTCAGTCTCTTTTTCTTCTTCTTCTGATTTCTACGAGATATGACGTTATCTTTAACTAGTTGAATTATTTCTCATTCGACACCTTTATGCTTCATTTCTCATTTTACAACTTGCACCAGTGGATATAATTGGACAAATATAGTAAAAGACCAATAAAATTTAGACGAAAAGCAATCCCCAAACAATATTTGTTTCGAGCCGACTATAAATCATTCCTCAATTTTCCAACTATTACAAATTATAATTTTTTTGTTGAGTTCATTCTCGTCTCGTCGTTTCTCACATTATTCTTAGGGCTTACGGAAATGGAAGACTTTGAGCACACAGTTGGGGTGTCCTACTAAAGCCTTTAGAATCGTTTTCGTCGTTTCCACTTGACTAACCCTCGCATCTTTCTTCTCCACAAGCACCGCTTCGACAATGTTATCGAACATTTGTCTGCCTGCGCAACTAACCACGAAATCAACCACCGCGGTTTGTATTGGCATCAAACTTGCCTCACACGCACCCGACTCCATGTACCATCCTCTGTACACTTTCCCATCACGATCCTTCAGCGCCACTCCCGATGGACAGTCGCTGTACGGCGCACACGACTTGTTCGCCGCCGCTAGAGCCCTGCACTTGAGATGGCTACAAGCGTCGGAATCTTGGCAGATCTCTGGTTCCAAGAGAGTGAGGCCGTTGTGCTTCGGCTCGTGAAGGAGAGATGTATCTCCAAGGACGAAGCGCGGCTCAAGGAGTGACACGAGCTCCACGTATCCGTGGTACTTCCTTGATGGATTCTTGATTACGATTTTTGTTTCAGGATCCCGGGTTTCCTGAAGGAGGTTGCGGCAGCGATGGCACGGCGCGTCGCAGGTGGAGCCGTCATGGGACATGGCTAAGAAAAGAAGGCGTTTCTCGGAGTGGAGTGCGAGGTTGGCGACGACGAATTGCTCGGCGTGGATGGAGTAGTCAAGAGAGAGGCCAGGGAATTCGACGTTGACGCCTAAGTAGACCACACCCGATGATCCGAGTCCAGCTGCTCCGGCGTATTTTCGGGAGGTTTGAGCCAAACCGAGTGAGACTTTCCGGTCAATCAGCTTCGAAAGGTCACTAGGCTTGCTGCTGACGCCAACGAGAACGAATTCCAAGTGTTCTCCCATTTTTTTGTGTCTGTCTGATTTTTTCGGAGTTTTGTGTTTTGAGAGATTGGAAATGAAATGAGTATGAGAAGTCGTTAGCTATATATTTATAGGCGATGCATGCGTGTGTTTTGTGAATATTGTAAGTGCATGGTGTTTACGTCAAGAAAATAGACTTTGTATGACTCATGGAACTATATGGCTGAATAGTCTTAATTCTAAATTAGTAACATTTTTAATGGTTGATTTACATAGTAATGTTATGAAGTTCGTCAAATATGGCTCAATAGTCTTCACTCTTAAATTTTAGTAACATTTTAATGGTTTTAATAGTAGGGGACGACTCACGCTTCACCCAGAAATTTGTATTGGTTTTTGTATATATGATTAGAAGAAAATTTGACGATATTAAAGATCTTAACTAAACTTTGTGTTTCAAAACATATCCTATATTTCTATTCAACGAAATACAAGTCAAACTTATACATACCAAATGAAAAAGTAGTTTGTAAAAACTTAACAAATATTGCTTAATAGTCTTGATTGATTCAAGACTCTTGATTGTTCATGTACCATATTTTTTAAGCAAAAGCAATTTTTTTATAGTTTAGTTGAAAGTAGAACTATGAAAGTATAGCTAGGACCACAAGTATGAAGACTCTTGATGGCTCACACAGCTTAGCCGACTGTTTTCCTTTGGGGTGTTTTCTTCTATCATGATCACGACTTGACCTAAACCGAACCAACCGAACCAATTTGGACCTGAACCGACCGATTGCCCAAGTCAAATTGGGATCACTATGCCTTCGAGTCATAATTGATAATAGGCCCACGTTAAAGGCCCAAACCAATAATGGCGCCAAAATCAAGTGAAGTCCCGCCTAAATCGTCTCTTTTCACTGAAAAACGCCGAAACCTCCTCACTCCTCTCTCTCAACTCTCCGATCAGCAATGGCTTCTGACTCTCCTCCCGGTAACACCAACGACGGTAATCTCTCTCTCCTCTCTCTTTCTTCCCCCTTCTGTCTCTCTCAGTCTGAAACTGTTCCGTGATTTTGATTTTTCATTACCCACAGGTCCTTCCTCTCCCGACGAGAACGCTTCAAGCCCTATTGGCAACACCTACTCTTCCCCCGCCGCAAACCGCCGTCGCCGTCGAGGAAGATCATCTTCCCCGACGCAATTTGCCACCCCTCCACCGCCTTCACGCCTCGGAGCCTCAAACTCAACTCCTCCTACATCTCGTCCTTCCGCCGCCAGATCCAACGGAAGAAATGGACGCGGCGGCGGCCCAGCGACACCGTCGTATACTGACGACATTCCGCCCTCTTCCGGCGGTGAAGACGACGGCGCCGACGATACTACTCCGACTTTCGTCTGGGGAACCAACATCAGTGTGCAGGACGTTAAATCGGCGATTGAGATGTTCGTGAAGCATTTCAGAGAAGCGAAAGAGAACAGTGAAGATTTGTTCAGAGAAGGAAAGTATATGGCTTCGATACGCAAAGTGATTGAAATTGAAGGAGAATGGATCGACATTGACGCATTTGATGTGTTCGACTACGATCCTGATCTGTACAACAAAATGGTTCGGTATCCACTGGAAGTTCTCGCCATTTTCGATATCGTGCTGATGGATATTGTTTCCACGATCGACTCTTTGTTCGAGAAACATGTTCAAGTGAGGATTTTCAACCTCAGGACTTCCACTTCCATGAGAAATCTCAATCCTTCAGGTAAATTCATCGTTTTCTTCCCATGGTTTTCTTATTAGTTGTCTACTGAGTAAGCTTAGATTAATGTTTGAATGTCTGTGTTGCTTGGTTAGATATCGAGAAGATGATCTCTTTGAAAGGAATGATAATTCGGAGTAGCTCAATCATTCCTGAGATCAGAGAAGCTGTGTTTAGATGCCTCGTGTGTGGTTACTTCTCCGATCCCATCATCGTTGATAGAGGTAATTTGATCACTTGGATTTATCGATTTCTTTATATGTCTGCATAGTTTGTTTCTGATAATGTTTGTTTTCATTGTTAGGGAAAATAAGTGAGCCTCCTACTTGCTTGAAACAAGAATGCCTCGCCAAGAACTCTATGACACTAGTGCACAACCGATGCAGGTAAGTTCTTGACATAGAATTTTCTCTGATTCTGTATACTCCTGTAGCTGATGCACTTTCATTTGTGAATCAGGTTTGCTGATAAGCAGATTGTGAGGCTTCAGGAAACGCCTGATGAGATTCCAGAAGGAGGAACACCTCACACGGTTAGCTTGTTGCTGCATGACAAGCTAGTTGATAATGGAAAGCCTGGTGACAGAATTGAGGTAAAAGCAGTGATGTTATTGGGTTAATACATGTGTTTCTATCGTTTTGGTTTTACAATCAAAGCTTGTTTTCTGGATAGGTCACTGGAATTTACAGAGCAATGACCGTCCGAGTAGGGCCTGCTCACAGGACTGTGAAATCTGTATTTAAGGCATGTCATCTTATCATTTGTTCTGTTAGTAGTTCCTCTTTTATCCTCTTATTTCATTCTGACATTTTCATTTATATTCTCTTATTGATGGTGAGTGCAGACCTACATCGATTGCCTTCACATAAAGAAAGCAAGTAAGACAAGAATGGCTGCTGAGGATCCAATGGATGTTGACAATAGTTTGCGTAGAGTCGATGAAGATGTTGAGTTAGATGAGGAGAAGGTTCTTCATCTTTTTAACCAAATAAATCTTAAGCTTTGTAATTATATTTTCGTTCTTTCATTCCAACCAAGCTTTGTTGGTAATTTGCAGTTGAGGAAGTTCAAGGAACTCGCTAAACAACCAGATATATATGAGAAGCTTAGTAGATCACTAGCACCAAACATCTGGGAGTTGGATGACGTTAAAAAGGGTCTTCTTTGCCAGGTGCTGTAACACTTTTCGTTTTTGCTTATAGTTTCAACAAAATGTTAACAACATAATTTCCTTTTACTGAGACGAATGTTCAAGTGTGAAGCTTTTTGGAGGGAATGCTTTGAACTTGGCATCTGGTGCTAATTTCCGTGGTGACATCAACATCTTACTTGTTGGTGACCCTGGTACAAGCAAGTCCCAGCTGCTCCAGTACATTCATAAGCTCTCACCTCGTGGCATCTACACAAGTGGGCGAGGGAGCTCAGCTGTTGGTTTGACAGCTTATGTAGCTAAAGATCCTGAGACAGGAGAAACTGTATGTTAATCCTTTTTTTCATTATTTTTGTACTCAGGTGGTATTTTCAGAGTTTTCTTATACCTGAGTTGTTAACGTGATTGGTACACTGTTTAGGTCTTGGAAAGTGGAGCTCTTGTTCTGAGTGACAGAGGTATCTGCTGTATTGATGAATTTGACAAAATGTCTGACAGTGCGAGGAGCATGCTGCATGAGGTTTGTTACTCTCTCCTTCTTAGCATTGCCCTAGTTGTGGATTATAGTTTGTAGGCGCCACTGGTTAATGTGGCCTCTAGTACATACCATTTCATTACTGATGAACATTGTTGCCCTGTCAGGTTATGGAACAACAAACTGTTTCCATAGCAAAGGCTGGTATCATTGCATCTCTTAATGCCAGAACCTCTGTGTTGGCTTGTGCAAATCCTAGTGGCTCACGATATAATCCTCGGCTTTCTGTTATTGAGAACATTCACCTTCCTCCAACCTTGCTTTCTAGGTATGCTGCAATCCTGCAACAAAAGTGACATTAAGGATTTACCGTTTCTGCACAAGATGATTATTCAGTGGTGTGACTAACTAATTATCACATTTTGCTTCTTAGATTCGATTTGATCTACTTGATTCTTGACAAGCCCGATGAGCAGACTGACCGAAGGCTTGCAAAGCATATTGTAGCCCTACACTTTGAGAACGCAGAGGTCTTATATTTTTCCTCAGCGTCTATAATATGTTGACAAATGGTTGTTCTATTGCCTTTATCTCACTTCAACTGGTGTATTATTTCATCTCAACTTGCAGAGTGCACAGGAGGAAGCTTTGGATATTACTACACTAACAACATATGTTAGCTACGCTCGTAAGAACATTCATCCTAAACTATCAGATGAAGCTGCAGAGGAGTTGACCCGAGGTTACGTTGAGCTGAGAAAAGCAGGGAAATTTGCCGGTAGTAGCAAAAAGGTGTGCTTTTGGAACTTCATTGTTGTTTCTCTGTCATAAAAATGCCATGGTTTAGTCTCATGCTTTAACTTTCTGAAATTTGGCACAGGTCATAACAGCGACTCCTAGGCAAATTGAAAGCTTGATCAGACTTAGCGAGGCCTTGGCTCGGATGCGTTTCTCGGAATGGGTTAGTAAAAACATTTATATGTTAACCTGAATCTTTTTTTTTTTTTTTTCATTTCAACACCAACTAAAAATTGTTCTTGTGATGGATACAGGTTGAAAAACATGACGTGGACGAGGCGTTTAGACTTCTCAGAGTTGCAATGCAGCAATCAGCAACCGATCATGCCACCGGTTAGTTTCCTCACTGTAACTTTTAACACAGTAACTGTCATGAGGATAAACACTAGCTTTCATCCACATCTGTTTCTAAACAATTAACACTGTTATTATTTATTTTGGTGAAGGGACTATTGACATGGATCTGATCAACACTGGAGTCTCAGCGAGTGAACGAATGAGAAGAGATATCTTTGTGTCGTCAATTCGAGACATATCTCTTGAGAAATTGCAAATCGGAGGTTCATCAATGCGCTTATCCGATGTATGAATTCTTTCCTCTTTCATTTTCCCAGTTTGTTATATGACCAAAGCAAAGCAAAATCGTATTACTTTTGGAGACACCATTAAACCAAAGAGATTTGCTAAGTTCCATTGGAAATGTTGTGCAGTTACTTGAAGAACTGAAGAAGCACGGAGGCAACATAAACACTGAAATTCATCTTCATGATGTGAGTCAGTTTATAAACTTTTGCTGCAAATAAAATGTTTTGATCTTCTCATCAAAGGACAGAGAAACTAACAAGAGTCTTGGCTTGTTGTTTTGACGCATTAATCAGGTACGGAAGGCTGTTGCAACGCTAGCCAGCGAGGGGTTTCTGGTTTCTGAAGGTGATAGAATCAAGAGAGTATAAGTGTCACAGTTTACTATTTGCTGTGATTAGAGAGTTTGATGAATTGAGTTAAGCATAATTTAATAGGAAAACTTGGCCCCATCTTCTCACTAGTTGCGAATTCTGTAATGAGTTTTTAATTTTCTATGTCAATCTCTCTGTACGCCTTTTCAATTGATCTCATCTTTCTTTTGTATCACTAGCTATCTTTAACATGAGCTTAAAAAAATTAGCGTAAGTTTTGTTTTTGAACCCACGCCCTCTTTACGAGGACCAGAACTTGAGTCTGGCGCCTTAGACCGCTCGGCCATCCTGACTTTTGTATAAAATATGTTTTAGGATGAAAATTAGCGTAAGTTTATTGGCATGAAAAATGTACATATCCAAAGAGTGTCTTAAAAATGTTAGGACTAAAAACATTTCTCTAGTAACGATTTACAAACGATGTAATCCAACGAGGTACTCTTTCAAGTTTCAAGTAGCAGTTGTCAAACAAAAAAGTTTCAAAAGTACTTGATTCGAAAATTAAATTTTGATTGGTTTGTGCTTGTTAATTCATCTCTAAAAGATATGGCGTCTGATTTTATTTCCCATGATTTGATACCTTTTTTGCAAAAGCGGCACATAACTTTTTGTGCATGAAAAAGTGGACTGGACAAAAGAAGAAAGTTAGGAAAAGAGTTGAATTGGGTCCACAGATCGAACATGACTGGCTTTTTGATAGATATGGACTTGGATGATGGTATGATACCATTCGTCGAAAAGTGAAAAAGTAAGAGATACGATTGATCTCAACTTGCTTCGTCTCTTATTCGTAAGGAAAGTGGTGGAACTCGTTGCTCCTCTTCTCCTTACCTCTCTAAGTGCCGACACTGCTACCCATTAATATTTCAAAAGTCAACTAGACTGTATTTTTGAATCAAATTAAATATTACTTCATTTGAACCAGAACCAAAACGTATCTATAAAATCATTCATTTTGCACTCGTAATTATCAGAAAATCGAAATACATCAATTAACAAAAAAAATCAAACTGAAATATTGACCGATAATTTTGTTCATTTTTCATATTGTTTGAACCCCACACTGCTGTCTTTTTTTCTTTACAACGGCCTGATTTTTAAATTCCTACAGATTTTTAAACAAAATTAAGAAGAAGAAAACAAATTAGCTGTCAGAAACAGAAAGATAACAAAAAGGAGAGCCTAGATTCGTGTGTCCGGAACAGATTATAAAGGAATACTCCCTCCGTTTCAAATTAGTTGTCGTTTTGGGAAAATGTATCTGCAAATATTTGGACGTATCTGGACGTGTTTTGCATTGCAGATACGTCCAAATATTTGCAGATACATTTTGCCAAAACGACAACTAATTTGAAACGGAGGGAGTATAAAACTTTCCAAGCGTTCACATATGTCCTTTAACAATTATTTGGGTCAAACAAATAAGGGAACAAATAACAAGAAAGTTATGGTTTTACCCTCAAATCTCGATAGAAATTCAAAACAGAGTTGAATTGTTAAGATCATCAGTATCGAGAATACTCCAATATTCAAACCAAATACATTGCCCCTAATTTTTCTCTTAAAAGGAAAATTTTCCCTTATTTATAGGAAAAGAAAAATATTCACACAGACAGGGAAAGAAAATCTGTGAAAATGGGTCAACATGCACGAGGATCCGATTTCTTTTCCGTTGTTCTTGTTGTGTGTTTGGTCTTGAACAGCTTGGTGCTGTTCTGTAATGGAGGCATCACCAGTAAATTTGTCAGAAAAGTTGAGAAAACCATTGATATGCCTCTTGATAGCGATGTATTTCGTGTTCCTCCTGGTTATAATGCTCCTCAACAGGTAAATTGTTTCAGTTTTTTCGTTTGTCTTTATATCAACAATCTTTTTCTGAGTTTTTGCTGTGGATTCTGTTTATAATTATTAAATTTCGAAGCTTTTATGGTTGGTGTTGTTCATTTCATTTACGTCCAATTGTTAGGTGGGTGTTTACATTTTAATAATATTAAGCATCACTTTTTGTCCTATTTTTAATCTTTGTTCTAATTGGGAAAAAAGCTAATTATTGGACGATTCAAGATTTGCTTATTGGACGTTTATAAAAATATACATGAACATATCTTTGTTAAACAATTGATCTTTTTTATTTTGAGTGTAAATTAAACAATTGATCTAAATTGGGTTTTGAACATAAAAAGGTGCATATAACACAAGGAGATGTAGAAGGAAAGGCAGTGATAGTGTCTTGGGTGACACAAGAAGCGCCAGGATCTAACACAGTCTATTACTGGAAACATAACAGCTCCAAAAAGCTCAAAGCTCGTGGCAAAACCAACACCTACAAGTTCTACAACTACACTTCTGGTTATATCCATCACTGTCTTATCAAACACTTGGAGGTCTATCATCTATTCATCATCATCATTGTTGTCACAATCTTTGCCATTGTTGTTATCTGACTTTCTGGTTCTCTTTTGCAGTATGACACCAGATACTATTATGTGGTAGGTGTGGGAAAAACGAAGCGCAGGTTCTGGTTCTTCACTCCTCCTGAGATTGGTCCTGACGTTCCTTACACCTTTGGTCTCATTGGTATTGTCCTGAAACATATTCATGCAATTTAGTAGCTTTGCATGGACTTGAACATGACTTGCAAATTGTTGTTTTGCAGGGGATCTTGGACAGACTTTTGACTCAAACATAACCTTAACACATTATGAAAACAGCCCAACAAAAGGGCAAGCGGTTTTGTTTGTTGGAGATATCTCATACGCAGATACTTATCCAAACCACGACAACAATAGATGGGACAGTTGGGGAAGATTTGCTGAAAGAAGCACAGCTTATCAGCCATGGATTTGGACCGCAGGAAACCATGAACTCGATTTTGCCCCCGAGATTGTAAACCTTCTTGCTTCATCTTCTTTGTTTTGGCTTTAGGCTTCACAATGCTACTTAGACTGAGATTGAGATTGAGATGGATTGTTTTAACGCGTTGTGCAGGGAGAAACCAAACCGTTTAAGCCATTTACGCATAGGTACCGTACTCCTTACAGAGCATCAGGCAGTACAGAACCATTCTGGTACTCGATTAAGAGAGGACCTGCTTACATAATTGTGCTATCTTCATATTCAGCTTATGGTAAAGGCAGCTTAAAAAATCTTGACACTTTTGTTTCATGCCATACTCTTTAGTCCGAGAACCTGAATGTTCCACCTTTTCTTGGACAGGTACATACACTCCGCAATACACATGGCTTGAAGAGGAGTTCCCAAAGGTGAACAGAACGGAAACTCCATGGTTGATTGTTCTGATGCATTCACCGTGGTACAACAGCTACGATTACCATTACATGGAAGGTGAAACAATGAGAGTGATGTATGAGTCGTGGTTCGTCAAGAACAAAGTAGATGTTGTCTTTGCAGGCCATGTCCATGCCTATGAAAGATCAGTAAGATAAACAAAACTTTTTTGTCTCCTTAAGGTTTTATTAAACTATAGATCCTGAGAAACTTGAGCTATTTGTGAAAACCAGGAACGCATATCTAACATAGCTTACAAGTTGGTTAACGGCTTGTGTAGTCCAGTCAAAGATCAATCTGCTCCAGTCTACATCACCATTGGTGATGGAGGAAATATTGAAGGATTGGCTACCAAGTAAGCACTTCTGATCGTTGCAACCGGTGTTTGAGTAGATTTAAGATGATGAATATTGAATGTTTTGAGCATGGTTACTGCAGAATGACTGAGCCTCAGCCGAAGTACTCTGCCTTCAGAGAAGCGAGCTTCGGGCACGCGATATTCTCGATCAAGAACAGGACGCACGCTCACTATGGATGGCACAGGAACCAGGATGGTTACGCGGTGGAGGCTGACACCATGTGGTTTCACAACAGATTCTGGCATCCTGTTGATGATTCTTCTTCTTTTGATTCTTGAGAAACTCAGAATCTTAATTTGTGTTGTTGTATACGTCTCTTAGATTGAATCATTGAAATAACCATGAATAAAATGCAACGTGAGTGAGTTCTTGTGCATGTCCTTGTTTATGACCACAGACTGATGTGACATTCTTGAGTAATGAGAAGGACTAAAAATACATGCCGTTTTCTTGACATAAAAGCATTACATAACTATAAGTATTAGAACCTGACTATTTGTTATCAATCAAAACGAAGAACCAAACTCTAATAATAACCATTACTTGAAAGTTGAGCTGCTGGATTAGGAGAATCAGGTTGTGGATTTGATGAGGAAGTAGTGCCATGCTCCACAGAGCAACGAACCAGAGGGGTTGAGTTTTCTCTTTGAAACAGTAGCTTAGCGATGAGGTCCCCTGGGAGCTTGATTTTGAGCTTATAATCAGCCACAAGCTCTAGTATAGCTCTCAGTCTTGTACCATCTTCTTCTTTAGCCTAAAAAGGAAGAAGAACAAAACATAAAACTGATCATCTTTCTCTCAATCTGTAATTTGCAAGATCAAGATCAGGCGAGTGGTGAGATTCCATGATTTTGTAAGAGAAGCTGAGATTCCATGATTTTGTCGGCTGGTGTCATCATCGGTAGGTGGCTGCTTCCCACGCTTAACAAGCACATTGATCATTTTTCTCTTCAGCTGTTTATGTAACTCAACTTGTCTTTGAATTTCAAGCCAAGCTGTTAATCAGAGATCGTTATTAATGCTTGGAACCTCTTTTCTTTCCACCTCGAGGTCGAATCTGAAGCCCTTGCTTGATTCTCCAACACATTCCAGCTCCTCTGACAGTTTCTCAAGTAGTCTACGCTGAGACTCCACTTATTCATCCAAAGCCGCTAGCTTCTGGCCGGATTCTTCAATCTTGGAAAGAATTAGCACCAAATCTTTCTTCTTTCTATCTGTTTCCTCTGACTCAATCTGATTCTTAAGCAGATATAGTTCCTTTTCTTTACCTTCAACCTCCTGCCCAAACATTTCAGATTTTACATTCAAATCACTCGCTTTAGTCTTCTTCCATTTCAGAGGAGCTTCTGCAAATGGCCTCCAGAATCTCCTTGTGTCTATTCTCTTTAGCAACAAGCTCTTCAGATCCATCGTCTCCCTCATCTCTGCAATTGACCAGCCATGACTGACCCTCTTCCTGGTTAGGTATGTCTTTCAAGCCACCATACACAGTATATGGCACGAAAGAAACTCACGCCGGCATGGAGAGCAGCCACACTCTGCTACTCAACTCATCAAGTCCATCGACAAGCTCGTTAGGAACCGTATCTCCACAATTAGATTGTTGGGAGATACCAAGTATGAAGCAGCTCTCCAACTTTGGTTTGAAGCAAAAAGTTAGGATTTGTTTCTTGAATGTTCTTTTCTAAATCTCAAACTTAAGTTGCACATGATGTAAAAAGAGTATTTTTTTTTTGGTTTTGAATAAATTTTACATTCAATTCAAAAAAAAAAAAAAAAAAAAAAAAAAAAAGAACAAGCTCTTCAGATCGTTCCTGGATAAACAACGCCAGAAATCGCAAGGGGATTTAATGTCGGATTGTTTCATGTCTGTCGGAATTTTTCCGTCAGAACGGTGGATGTCGGAACGGGCGGAATGGGCTTCGTTACAAGTCGAAAATGGGCCTTTGACGGGCTGAAATGGGCTTTATTTCGAGACGAAATTGGGCTTCGTATCAAAAGTTTAACTGAACAGTTTATGTCTGAACGGGCTGCCTTAAAAGTCTAATTAATGTCTGAACGTTTAATGTCGGAAGGTTTGATGTCGAATAATTTCTGTCGGAACAAATTCTGTCCGAACATTTGATGTCGGAATAATTTCTGTCTGACCAGTTCATGTCCGAACATTTGATGTCGGAATATTTTATGTCGGACCAGTTCATGTCGGAACAATTTATGTCCGAACATTTGATGTCGGAATATTTTTTGTCCGAACGTTTGATGTCGGAATATTTTTGGTCGGAACGGGCTTTGTTACCGGTCGAAAATGGGCCTATCAGGCCAAAATGGGCTTTATTACGAGACCAACTAGCATTTTAATGAGAAGCCCATATTAATTCCGGAACGGGCCAGTTAAATGGTTAAATGCCTAAGTATATTTTTTTTTGGTCGGAACTTAAATGCCGAAGTATTGTCGGAACGTTTAATGTCGGAATGTTTGATGTCGGAAGATTTGTTGTCGGAACGTTTATTGTCGGAACGTTTAATGTCGGAATGATTATTGTCGGAAGGTTTATTGTCGGAATGTTTGATGTCGGAATGTTTGATGTTGGGATATTTTCGGTCGGAACGCTTGATGTCGGAATACATGTCCGGATATTTTCTGTCGGAATGTTTGATATCGGGATATTTTCTGTCAGATGGGGGCTCAAAACGGGTGTACTACAAACCTTCAGGCCCAATTTGCTCCATTTTTTTCTGTCAAAAATGACGAGATAACGGTTTTGGCTCCATGGCGTCGACGCGTACCTGTATTTTTCTAACTGTACTTTTGGACTATGAGAAACCTGAGACCTGAGATTTCAGTTTAGTGATGATGATCTTGTACGTAAGAAGGCCACAGTACTTGCAGATCGCTGGCTCATCTAGGTCAAGGCATATGAACTCGATTGGATGACCGAGGGCCGGATTGGTTACGGCTACAAAGGATGGAGCTGTGAGTAAACAGATTTCTGAATCTGTCAAAGAAATGGTTTATTAACTTTAAGATAAACTAAACTTTAAGAGCCTCGATTAGGTTTCCTAGGTTGTTACTACCAAAGGTTAACAGAACGGAAACTCCATGGTTGATTGTTCTGATGCATTCACCATTACATGGAAGGTGAAACAATGAGAGTCATGTATGAGTCGTGGTTCGTCAAGAACAAAGTAGATGTTGTTTTTGCTGGCCACGTCCACGCCTACGAAAGATCGGTAAGATAAACTAAACTTTTTGTCTCCTTAAGGTCTCGTTTAAACTATAGATCCTGAGAAGTTTGAACTATTTGTGAAACCAGGAACGCATATCTAACATAGCTTACAAGTTGGTCAACGGCTTGTGTAGTCCAGTCAAAGATCAATCTGCTCCGGTTTACATCACCATTGGTGATGGAGGAAATATTGAAGGATTGGCTACCAAGTAAGCACTTCTGATCGTTGCAACTGGTTTTTGAGTAGATTTAAGATGATGAATATTGAATGTTTTGAGCATGGTTTCTGCAGCCGAAGTACTCTGCCTTCAGAGAAGCGAGCTTCGGGCATGCGATATTCTCGAGCAAGAACAGGACGCACGCTCACTATGGATGGCACAGGAACCAGGATGGTTACGCAGTGGAGGCTGACACCATGTGGTTTCACAACAGATTCTGGCATCCTGTTGATGATTCTTCTTCTTTTGATTCTTGAGAAACTCAGAATCTAATTTTTGTTGTTGTATTGTATACGTTTCTTAGATTGAAATAACCATGAATAAAATGCAATGTGAGTGAGTTCTTGTGCCTGTCCTTGTTTAAGACCAAAAAGACTGGTGACATTCTTGATAATGAAAAGGACTAAACATACATGCCGTTTTCTTGACATAAAGGCTGCGTGTAGTTCTTTTAATATTTGAAAGACCGGCATGGAGTGTTGATAATGAAAACTTGGAAAGGATTATAAACATGTCGTTTCCTGACATACAAAACTGTATGTAGTTCTTTTATTGTTAGAAATAACGGGATGAAGTGTTGTTTTCTTTATCTCCACATTTTGCTTTCGATTGTGTACTACTACTCTCACTTGTGACTTGGACATTTGTTTAGTGTTAAATCTCGAGGCGATTCTTTGTGTTTCAAATGTATTGATTTT